GAACTTATGTATAACCATCGTACTGTCCTATTTTCTTCCCTTAATATCTGTTCATACGCACACGTTGACCATCCATAATTACTTTTGATTCCTGATTATTTGAATTTTTTGTAAGCCATATATAAATATATATAGTTTTCTGAAGTATAAAAAGAGTATGTAACAGATCAAAGTAAAAATAGATTACTGATAAAAGATAATTGTTAACTTGAAGAATATAAAAAAATTGTAAACATTCGGTAGTATTGAGTTATAAATTGTTGATAAACATTAAATACAAAAGTGAAGTTGTGCAACGATGTAAAGGCTAATGAAAAATGTTAACATAAGAATATTTTATTGGAGAGAGATGACTATACATTTGATGAATATGAAAAACAGAATAATTACATTTGATAATAGCTCATTAGTAATTCGGAATAGTCCCTTTGATAACTAACCAGAGTAATGCTCGAAAATGAAATTATAAAGAGCTCTCTTTGTGTAGGAAGTATAAGAATATAATTTACTGATGAACTACAAATATGATTACACAGCTTCAGTAAGTAATATCGCCACAAAACAGAGTTACTTTGATACATTGGCTATATTTATTCTTCAATGACACAGTGGAAATTCATTACATTTCATGTATTTAAAATATTTCGCATAGCCACTAACTTTTACAGATAAAGTGTTTTATGAATGTGATTTTGTGCACAACGTTCATAAAATAGTATAGTTTAACACAGAAAACTAACTACAATATTTTGTAGATTCGTATAAGCTCAATCGATAGAGGAATAGTGTATATGACCACAAGTAACAAATGGGAATTATTATTATTAGGGAAGAAAACATGATATGATATAGTGACTTCAAAAAATAGTTAATCAATCCGTATAATAGTGATAATACTAACAGTACATGATTGAGTAAAAAGAAGTACTGCTTTTGTTTATGTAGAAATCTGTTGTTGTACCGAGTATTTATTACTTCAAATGTACTGAGATTTACTACACGTTACATTTTATTGCGATATCTCTCTGTGTTACTACTGGGAATTCTGGGATTATTTGCCATCAAATTACTTGTTGTGTGTCTACAGAAGTTCTCAGTGAAGACCCTCTATACTCTTGCAACATGGATGCTTCTGCCATTACAAATTAACAGGTAAATATGACAAAAGAGACTTAGTGGGTACGTTCAACTCTCTGATTATATCTTTTGTGCTATATAAGACAATTAAATTGACAATAGGTAAAGTGAATGAAATATTGGCTACTAATCAACAGGTATTTTGTGGGTCTAGGTCACAGCTTTTCAAATGAAGTTTGAAAACACAATTTATGAACATTAAATATAATTCTTACCAATTACGGATGCCATTATTCCCAATGCTAAATCATTACCGTTTGGTGCCTCTTGATTATTTTGCGACATACGAACAATGGCTTGTACAGATTCAGCTACAAGTTGTATAGATATACTACCCATAAATACAGAGAGTACAATCACTGCTAATGGTTCAAGTCGTGTTCTCCCTAAGAAGGAAATAAAATAAAAGCATTTTAGAGACCTTGTTTCTCTTTCACTTTCAGATGATTTTCAAAAACCCAACACTAGAATAAAAATGATTAATAAATATTTCAGTAAATTTAATAATTGTAAAGCATAAATAATAAGTATCTTAGAAATTTACACTAAGATCTTAAGTATTTATTACAATCATCTGGTTTAACAACATGGCTAAATGATGATGATAATTCACTATCAACCATTTAAGAGCTCATGCAATTACATACCTAAGACTGGCATTATCAACGTTGAATAGAGAGAACAAATGATTAACAACATGCTGTGATGCATGTTGCTTATGCTTACGGGTACAAGTAGCATGTAGGAGCAATCGGAAATGAGATGCCTGCCAGCAACGGGTTGAGGTGATTAAATTAAAGAAAACAGGAAGGACAACTGAAAAAGGTGCAAATAATTTATTCAATGTATCGTTTTCATATTATACGAAGGTACTTTGTAAGTTTGCATTAGACAATCAATTGGTGTACCACACCTGAGTTCTCGTTCACTTCAATGCAACTGCGATAATTTTTGTTATCGGATGTCACTTTTTATAACTTCTTGGCGACTGGACTCATAACTTAGTTCTATATTTTGTTAAAATTTGGTAACTAGTTACTGAAAGATATGCACTTTTTCTTAAAAAATTTAGAAGTAAATTGCCATTATATGTTACTTATTCTTTCTTCATACTATATCTGAACATTTCAGTAGTTTCGGAAATAACCAGTCTAATTAAGTAAAGGCTTGTAAATAGATACTCACAGTAAATTGATGATGGTGTTCAATTAAAAATCGAATACATTTACAACTTTTGTTCGATAACTAGATGAAGTGATACTTTGAGAATTAATATCGATGTGTAAAACACCATTCGAAAAACGAGAACGCTAAAAGATTGCCAAATTTAGTGGCAGAAAAGTTATATGTTGACAAATGTTTAAAATGTGCAGAATTCTTCCAACACATCATTCACCAGTCCATATTTTGAGAGTCATTCATACTGTTAGTGGAATCAACTGCATGTCGTATTTAAAAGACCACTTAAAACAACTGTAACAACAGTTTAAAATAAACAGCCTACAGACCGTAGATCATTTTATGAACAGTTAAAATATTTTTAAACCAAATTACCTTCTGGGTATTTGTATGGCTTCCTTTTACGCATTTGACGAGCAGCAAACCACATGATTCCACCGGAAGCCAAATCGACACAACTATCTAACAAAGATGATATGATTGCTAATGACCCTGATAATGCAGATGCTACAGCTTTACCCAATAAAAGTACCTATATTGATGTAATTCCAAATGGGCAATATGATAGTTAAAAGTTATCAAGTTATTTTCATACATACAATGTAAAATCGTTAGACAAATAATAACACTATTAGAAAATCATATTTTTCATTTAAAATTTCACTGAATAAAATATAAATTGATTTCATAGTGAAAGAAGTGTCACATTCATAAAACGTAAGGAGAATAAACTAGTGCAGGAATTATATCAAAATAAAACCAAACGTCTAGCGTAAAAAATTAGAAAAGAGGTTTTACTAGTTCGTTGTTTCGAAGAGGATGAACTCAAAGAAAATTGCTTGCTTAATCCAAGACACCAGTAAACTTAATCTCCCTATATTCACTAGAATGGTAAAAAATTTACACGGCACTTTGGTAACAAATGATTGTTTCGATCTTAGTCATCTAATAATTATATCAGCCTTATGCTATGGAAAAAAACGATTTGATGTTTACGATCCGTAAACCACTAAACTTATATTACTAGAAATTAACATTTTGCGTTCGTTATGAATGACTGGTTATTTGAAATCACTAGTCGTCAATTAAACGGATATTGCTTAAAGCGAAAGTAATAAAGCAGATGGAAAATCTGCAGATGGTGAACTAAGATCAATCGAAACACCAGATGACAGATTACTAGTTTGTAAACTTATTATATGTTCTAAATAATTTTCCTATGTTACAATAGCTAGATGGAAACATGTAAACGCTGAGCATTAATAACTTATTAGAATTTACCAAGGATAGTTCATTCTGCATTGGAATGAAATTTCTTTCCTTTCCGTTTTAGTAATTTTCGTAAACTAATTATTAATGATATTATACTTACCACGTTGGCACAAAATACAACACCAATAATCATTGTATTAATTCGCGTTTGCCGCCTAATAGAATGATGATTGGAGGTTACTTCTACATCGGAGGTTTCTGCCTCCATAATAGTTGCGATCTTCTCCAATTCACGAATATGTTCATCTTGTCGTCGATAAAACTCCCTAATTTTGGAGAAAATATGAAAGATGGATATCTAAGTGAATTTAACAGGGTTAAGTCAACTACATAGCAATCTCAGAACATCTAAATACCCCAACTCCGTATTTCCCTGAAAGATGCTGTTGTCTGTTCGCGTCTTTTATTCGTTCCTATGAGACCTAACAGGTTGACATTTATGAGCTAAAATCAGCGAATTGACAAGATCTATACTGCAAACAAAATGAATTTAGCCTACGTATTGGATTCTATTGATATAATTAAGAAGGCCTGAAAACCCTATTCATGGTGTTGACAGAAAATAAAAGTAAATGTCTTGAGTGCTGTTAAAAATATATGGGCGATTATCACATCCCGGTTGCTCACACTGTGGAAGAGTTCTTCTGGAGGTACCTGAGAAAGAAGTTGGATTAGAGGTGGTCTTAGTGACCTAAGAGCGTGACCGCAGTGCCCAAGGGACAACTGCATGAAAGGTCGGTCACACACGACTTTCGTGTGAGTAATTTTTGTGTTAGCTCCGCAATTGTTGAAGTCGTACCGCCAGAGACGGATATCCGTCGGATAAGCCAAAGTATGCATTTTTAGCGTCAACCTATTCTAACCACACCCCTCCTCGTGGGAAGGCAGCATCGCTGTGACGCTGGTTGGCTATGGAACTGTAATCCTTAGATGCAGCATTTACAAAACAATGCTAAGCGTGAAATAATTTACTTTAAATAACTCAGACAATATATTTACGTCTTTTATGATTTATGTAAGTTAACACCTAAAGAAATGATATGTTTGTCTATTTATAACAAGAACTTGAGAATTCGCCTCTTTGATACTGAATCCTACCTAAATGTTGCTTTCACTTATTTGTTTTGCATTGTAGAAAAATGTCATTCTACAACTGAAGTAGCAAGCGAATTCAATGAATATTCGACGACGGGAATGGGATCTATTCAATAATCTACCTAATGATTATAAAAACCGCTTACATTTTCTACCACTATCTATGCATTGAAATCAAGAGTTTCTTATACTTGCACTTACGTTTCACCTACTCACCATCATTAAATTTGAAATGCATTTTATTGCAATCCGTGATACATTCTGCAGAAACAACCTGTTGTTAAGAAACAGCTTTTGTAGACAATAGCAAAACTTACATGACTGACTTTGAAGTCGTCTTAGCTTTTCTGATGTTAGAGCTTAATCTCTTCCGAAAAACCTCAATAGGATGCGTTTTCCATGTTTCGCCTGTGACGCAGTTATAAGAATGGAATAACAACAACAGAAATAAGTCACAAATTATTCCAAGCGTTTACTTAGTTTCTAAAACGTAAGTGACAGCTTGATGTAAAAACTTGGAATTACTTATGACAGTACATTTTATAAATGGGTAAATCTTGCTGACAACTAAGTTGGGTAGGCCTGAACACGTAGGCCTTAATATGAAATAATTTCCAACTGCTCTAAATAAAACCACAGTGAGTATCATTACCAAGGTTTGACTTGATAATTCCGAATAAATTGAGCATTGGGTAGATTGTTATAAATATAATAATATAGTTGTAATATAAGAAGGGATTTTATGGATATAATAGTAATTTGAATAGTTGAGAGCATGAGTCACTTGAAGCTGGACCACCATACCTGTGGATGCGTAACGGTATTTCATGATAATGCAAATTTCTACCAGATTCTGAAATGCATAGTTAAATAACAACCATTCATTGTTTCATAAACCAATCTAAATTGAGTCAGATACCCAAGGTCCATCAAATGATGTTCAATTGTATAAAGATGACACATTCAACACTACTGCTTTCTCCACATGCACCACGTTATGGCATTTTCTTATTATCCAGTCGAGGCATTTTCTGTTGGTGTATATATATGTTCTGACGAACTACTGTGAAATACTTGTGATTTAGCACCTCGCATTTGTACCGTAACAGTCCCAATCACTCATACATCGAAATTCATCAATTTGGTGCTTTAACAGTCTGTATATAGTACATTTGGAGAGTTTTAAAAAACTGGCCATCAATGCGAACAAAATGTTCAATTGAACATGAAATTCTCTTGAGAGAAAATTTTACAAATTCATCAAACAGCACGATCACATTCACTGTCCTCAGTTCTATGAGTACAGTTTACATTAATCTGTAATTGACGAGGATCTACTTACATCAAGTGGAAAGTTGAAGGAGTAGTGAACAAAATTCTCTCACCATAAACTTAATACGGATATGAGAAAAATCAGTTAAACTTGCGTCACATTGAAAATCACATCGTGATAAGAATATTATCATCAGCACTGTATTCAGTGTCCTCAATTTCATGAGTGCACTTCTCATCAGTGTTTCATATCGTGAGAACTCAATCAGTCTTGTAACCAAATTGAAAGTGCTTATGAGAATGTTTCAGTTCACTGTGTTTGGTTTCACACCAAAACAGTATATAGACAAACGTTCAAACAAACATGTTCATCAGAAAAATCGAGTTTAGAAGAAATATGTTGCAGCAATACAACCTTCTAATAAACGGGATCACTTTACTGACTTCATGTGAGTACATTTGTGGGTAATCTTCAATCACTTCACACGTAACGGGTTTGGGTTACTTCAAGTGTTACTCATTTACTAGAATTGGTTTCCCAATTTATTTGACGGTGGGTGGTTGGAGGTAGTTGACGAGGCATTCTGGACTAATGTTACATGTTGATTGGCAACTTAACCATACAAACGTATCATTTTGTCCCAGATTATACTCCAAAACCTATTCAAATATCAGCTAGTAAAACGTCTTAGAGTTTCAGATATTCCGTGTACCATGTCATTATGGGCTTCATCGTCATTTTCATAACAAGCAAAACTACATAGACTTTGTGTGAACAATTTCTTGTTGTAAGTGGATATTGCGTTTAGCTTGGTTGTGGACGGTGGATAACTGTTTGGCTTGTTGAGCGACGAAAATCCACAGATAGATAGGTCAGATTTAGAACAATTTCAGTGAAACATTCCATACTAGTTTCTTGTTTAAGAGAACATGGGTATAGATATATACTGGTCGAACAGGAAATTCTTGGCCTGGTTACCATGTCAATTTGACGATATGATTTTGTACCATGTTCACAAACCAGATCACTGGGAAACAAGTTTGATTATTTTCCATGTAAATACAAATACTAACTTTTAATTCCATGCACTCATTTATGTGATTTAGTAAGTGGTCTCATCTGCGAAGCTCAGTCTCCTATCAAAAGTAAGTCTCTTGTTCATACTGTAATGCTAAAGTTGTTAATTGTCACACGTTAGAATCAGACGGCACCAACAGTTTCTTGAATATGTCTACTAAGAAATAAATCCCAGTCTGCAACTAACACAATGTTCCATCCATGTAGCTTCCTCATCACGGACCATCACACCCGCGCTTATTTCCAATGTGTTTTTCTCAGTTTGATCAGGAACACCGTCCAACATGGTGAAGTGTAGAATGAAAGGGGAACGTACAATCTCAGGAACATTAACTGTCTACAATTGTTAGTTAGACTACTTTCCAACATATACATCGCAATTAGTGATGCGAACCCAGACAGAAAGAAAATATCCTTTATGGATGTAGTGATGTTTTCTCTCAATTCTAAACTCACTCAGTGTTTGTATTTCATCTTAAGGCTGCCTCACTGGTGTTGGAGCAGATAGTGAACAATATTGATGCTCTACATGTTCCATTATCTTTTAGACATGATGAGTGCCACTATATCGGAATATGGGGAACATTATGTATCAAAAATACATAATAATTGTAAGCAAATATTATTTACCCTTATTGTTACTCCAACTAGCATTTGAGTGGATGTATTTAAAAATAGTTATTACTTGTTAGTTGTGCATGAGAACATCATGTCAGATATTGTCTTTTCGGTTGTCTAGATAAACTTCTCATTATGGCACTGGGACCTGATATGAATTTCACAAAGGAAGAATGTGGTATCAGTAAGTTTGTACGTGGTCTTATGCATTGACATAAGACGAACAAACTACTCGGTTTTAATAGTGTCATGTAAAGTAAAATCTTATCTGCTTGTCCACTGTATTGACAGTAATCAATAACTCCATATGGAGTTCTTGAGAGTTTTACTGTATTTAGTCAATATCAAACTGAACATCGAGGGAAGTATGTGAAATGGATTGATAACGACGCTTGTATGTAAATGAGTTCGTAGTGGTTCAATTTACAATACAACTAATTGTAAACTAGTAAGCGTTTGTATTAAAATGAAGCACATGTCCTGCCTCTTACCACGAGGAAATAGAAGGTCTCACATCACCTATGTTTACTGTTCATAATTATTTGTGTAGTGCTTCGCGAGTCGGAGAAAGAACACCAAGTGAAGTGGGCACTCAATTATCTCAACGGTATGTTGCAACTCTTTGTCATTGACATGCCTAGACTAATTTTCACTCCGTTGCTAATCTTGGCTCCTAAACTAAGTTGGAAACGTTATCACATCCATCTATCTTTGATGTGCATTTGTAACTTTACCAACTGATCGTTAGTGAGCATTTTCCGATATAAAGTATGTCCTTCAAATCGTACTGTCTACATTAATGCCGCACATTTACTGATGTTCCAAATAACTTTGAACAAACTCGATGGGTTTGATCATGTGGCTATTTGAAATCTCGTTTCCGAATTCGTCGAAATCTAAACTGTCGGAGAACACAACTCCTACATTCATTTCTCAAGTTTCCGAATACACAAAAGCAAATAACTGCACGTACATATGTATATGGAGTCTCGTGCTTCCTGTGTGCACGCTGTTAATCATTGACAAAGAATGTAGACATTTCATCCTTCAGTCTGAATACAATGCCTTCAAATCAAACAGAGGTCGTCTAAAGAAGTATGAAGAGCTTGTCAATTCAGAAAGTAGTTCTTCTTTAAATACGTAAAAATGGACATATGAGGGTTTTTCAGTAGAAACTATCCAACCTCTTAACCTTTCTGTTGATAATCACTCAAGCTGCTAAAGAAACTTGGAAACTGGAAAGTGAACGGTTCAATTCTATTATGAACAATTATACGGGTAAGCCTTGGTAACCTGAAATAAATATATCTCACATTTTTGAATGCAAAATGTGTTTACTTTTCAATCAAACGACTCAATAAATCAGCCAATTTCATTTACAAACAAGAAGTGGAAACTCTGATACATCATGGATTTTCTACTTCATGAAAAGCAAATAGTGCTGACCCGCCAAACTGATAATGTCCGTTTCGTCTTCCACAATATCTTCATAGACTTTACTCAACTTAAAATGTACACATACTTTCACATATTATCTACTTACAGTTAAATGTCACTTACTTATCTTACAGATTTGAATAAATCCATTGTACCAGACTTCTGTGAGTGATGTGAAAATTTTAAATTGTATTTCACACAAAACCACAACATTGTGTTCAGAACCCACTTTGAAACAGATCTCGATAAATTGCTACATCCCATCCATCACTACCATATTGTATCATAATTAGTACGTCTGAGACAATGATGAAATATTGTACTTTATTCCATCCATTAACTATCTGCTAAGTTATCAGGAGTTATTAGCAACAGCCTAGTGTGATATCACCGTGACACACAACTTGCAAACCGAGTGATTTGGCCCTGATTTCACTATCTCTGAACTTCAAAACAGCAATAATCTTTTCACATATGTTCTTGACATTTTGTATCACAGTAAATTGATTTACACATACGACTTGTATAAAACCGTCTGTAATTTTTCATTACAGGTATGACTATGTTGCAGCAAAGTAGTGTTAGAAACTGGAACGCGACTATCCAAAGAAACATAGCATATGGTGAGTTCAATGGAGTTTTATTCAAAATGCTTCCATTCACTGTAAGGAATCATGTTCACGTGACAGATCACAGAAGATACGATTACTTACATAACAGCTATATGAGAATACTATTTGAAGTAAACTTACTTATTCACCTGTGCCTTGACACGTCAACAGGTTGTGGCGTCCTGAAGAAATATTCCCAGTTGAAATGGGAAGCAAGAACACAATTAGATAAGCTGGCAAGTAAGCGAATGTTTTTCAAACTCAATCAGTTGTCAGATTCTGCCTATTGCAAGATTATTATAGTCAATCATGTATGGGGATCACTTCCATAGTGTCAACTAGTGAACGGGAATTCCAACACACACATCTGAGTTATTCGCATGAAGTGATGAATTTTCGAGTTGTCATGTTTGAAAAAGCCAAACAATGTGGACTGACTCGACTTGCAATGAACAGACATATAAGATCACCTGAATCCAATAGGTGCAACAATTTACTACTGACGATGTGCTGAAACAAGTTTTAGTATGGATTCTGTGTTGCTATTCATAAGTCCATTGTATCCTGCTTACATAGTACTTGATTTGCGACTCCGACCATTCGGGTTTCATTTGTTAAACCTGTGCATTTCATAGTTAGCAATGAATGAATCTTACGTGTTATGTTTTGTCGGAATAACATTTAGTAGCGTCAGATATCTATTTTTGAATACCACACACGGCATTTTATAGTACTAATATCGCTGTTTTCTTCAATACAGTTCGCTGGTTGGATCGCTGGTTTAAAAACGGTCAATCGCAATACATGAAGGATAGAGGTAGGCTTGTTTTCAGAAAGTATTGAGTTGGTGAACTTGAGCGTTACTCAACTATAACTTTCGACTGATATCAGTTTGAGCCGTACCGCACTCCAGATTCGATGAAAAACAATACTTGCCTAAAACAGTTACCTGCATATCTGTAAGTGTTTCAACAAAGTTAACGAATGGCGAACTCAGTGGGGGTTGGAAGTTACATTGGCAACACCATTTGTGGAAATCTTTGGATGCATGGTTGTAAGGATTGCGTAAATATGGCACTACTCATTCAACTAGTAGGTAAACATATTGACATTTCTTATAGACGAAAGACATATAGACGTTTGTTCAACGTCGAGTACATACCAGAGAATCAGCTACGAGCGCAGGCACAATCTTTTATTCATCTCCGAAATCAATTTTGTCGCCAAAACACATGCTCATTGAACGTGATATTGAAAACAGTGTATTTGTGGTGTAGTACTGTCTAGAAAATTTCACATTTATTAGGATATTCTGTTGAATAAGACGGATTTTGCATTTCCTCACCTAATTTCACCTACTATTTTGAATTGCTTAGAGGTGGAAACGATCAAATAGCTTTCGATTTCATATCTTTCTATTATCATTCAGCATTTTCCCCAATGGTGAAAGTCACCGTTTTCAACTCTCGTGTATTTATTTGCAATATTCAAAACAGGTTTCGATTACCGTTTGAGAAAAGAAAATGTCGAATGTGCTGAGAGAGTGATGATGATACATCGAAGCAAGTGTAGCCTGAGTTTTAATTCGAGTTAATAAATAAGTGTTGCTTACATATCTTGGTTCTCATTTGACGGTATCACATGATACATTGACTGAAATCTTATGATTGCTTTATTCTTCCTACAATTTCAACCACACATTCGTCGATATCAAATGATTGTCGTAATTTTGTTTCTCATTGTTCATAGCTAAAGCCGAGATAGAATGCATGTCAACTGCAGAACAATATTTGGAGTTACAGCGAGTGAAAGGTTAGTTGACACGCAATTCCTCCATCTGCGTAATACATAAAATGAATAATAACAACTCGAGGCGCCATTCACTATCGATCACTGGATTAAAGTACTATCAGACGTGCAATATTCTAATAGTAATCATGACAGCGGGAACGGGAACGTCTCTTGGCATCGGACCAAGTTATGTGGAGAAACAACATAAAAGTTAAGGGGTGTTTGCTTCATTAATTCATTCAATTCCAGACTTCATTATTTAGCAACATATTTCCAAGTTATCTATCTGTTATCGTAGTTATATACAGTGTGATTATAATCATTTCACAAACCAATGTATCTCATAGGCAGTTTATATCTGTCGGTTACTTACATTTATATGTACTACATTCCTTCTCAGTGTCTTCACTATTCTGAATCACGGATGACGTATTCTTTGCAGATACCACGAACTCAAGAAACCTAATTGAAAAATTTGACAACATCTACAAAAATTTCAACCTTTCACTAGGTAAGATCAGTGGTTATATCGTTAAAACTAAGTAAAACCACGTGCACATCTGAAGTCGATTTTCGTTCCACTGCACTGACGTCATTGCAGCAATTCTATTGAACTGTATGTAAACCTCACGATACAATTTCGGTTTCCATCCAGGAACAGAGAATCAAACATGATTCATGACCTACTTTCCAAGCTTTCTTCTACTCACAGTGTATCGCCATAACTACTGAGGTCTGTACGATTGCAGTAATGCTTTCTGTCTTTCCAAACAATTCCAAATCATTGGTATGCCACACGGAAACAAACGTGTTCACATAGTTATTTTTGTTGAGTTCACTCAGACAATGAACTCCCTGATATTGCCATATTATGCGTGTCAGATACACTGTTCCATTGAATTGGTGAAGAAAACTTCCACAGTTTTCAGCTAAGCTTTCACACCACTAACTCACCAAGTATATTAGGAACATACTGATACCACAGTTGTTACGAATTTGTTTCATTCTGATTAACATTTGTGCTCTGGATAGTTATTTTTCGAGATTACTAATTCAATTTAATTCACAGTCGAGTTGAAGAGTAAAGTGCAGGACCTCGAAAATCGCAGGCTTCATTATTTGCGATGTAAGTTTGAAAATACTCTTAACTAATATGGTGTTCAGTTGTGTCTCCTATTGAGAGAGTCATCAACGTTTTAAGTGCAATGGATGGAGAGGTGGATCACCAGTATGGTAAGTGTAACTGACGTCCATTCACTTTTATCTTTGCACTTACTCACTATCCTTTTGCTCATGCAAGTCATTTAAAATGTTACCATAAGACGGTAAACGCGTCGATATCATATTGCGAAAATGTATGTAATATGGGAGCCATTCAGTGGAATTTCGACCATGAATAACAATAGCGATCGGGTCACAATCAATTTTGTCAGTGTGTGACCTAACGTCTCAGATGAAACCCAAGTTCTGTAACAATGATGACTTCAGACGTATATGAATAATATCACATGTTCAGTGATTTTACGTGTTCAACATACTTGAGGAATTCATCTAGATACGTGAGTTCAGATCAATCCCCCGAAAGACTGCATAACTTCATGGCATTTGCATTGTTGGCACTTGTTTAAAAGGCATATATTTGTGCACGGATTGATTAAGAAACAACTACATTGCATCACTGCGTACATAGTGCTGGCTACTGATCAATGTTTGGAAGATTCGTGAGAATATATTGTGCAATGAGTGATGTAAAATAGGTGACTGATCAGTCATGACACATTTATGTCCTTGCTACTCTACATCGGTCGGAACTATTTTATGCACATTGGCGCTGTATGCTTCATCAATAATCGACTTCATCGAGCATATACTTTGTGTTATTTACATCTCTTTCTTCAAACCACTCCAAATAATCATCAACTCAACGTCTACTTACCTTGTAGGAGTCTACAATTAACTCAGAGGATGGGACGGAATGCACTGTCGTTTCATTTAATAACACTATTTAGTTTGTAGCAGTAGTATCAATACTTTAAAATTGTTTGATTAAATGCAAGTCTTTCACAATATTTTTGTTTTCTTGATTTACACGAAATGCTGGAATTAAATTATTGAGTGCAAAGTGCTTTGTGTTTGCTTGTATCCTTTCGGTCCTCAGTTTATGCCTATCTCAAAGGTCAACGCAGAAAATCCCAGTCTTCCTCTCTTTACAAATTTCCGGCTCACCAATCTCCATCTGATTCGCATGTTACTCTAAACAGTGAAGTCGAACGATCCAAGGTATTAAGACACATTCAATGTGATTCATTGGATGAAATCTAGATCAAATCCCGTTTCTTATGCATTGTGTGTTGCTCGGATAATAAACAGGCTCAAACCGTTACTTGAAAGGCCGTAAACACTAATAGATATGAAGTCGTTGGCACAAAACAACTTACAGACAATCTGGTCAATACGTTATCTTATAGGTTAGGATCTCGCTTCACAATGTCCACTAGGTATGTTGTTCTCATCGTCAGTTGACTTAGATAAACAGGAAGAGCAATGACTCGAATCCTTCTGTGAAGGCAATGTACCACTAAATGTCGGCTGACCTGAAACAAGAAACATCTGATTGCCTGATAGAGCTACTGTAAGGAATTTCTTCGGGTGCCAGGATGTCTTCAATATAACTTCCAAACAAACCCTCTCATGTAAGCAATTTAAACCCATTATGCAATTATGATTTTAAATATCACAGGTTGTAAGCGGCTGACGAGAAACTACGAAATAAAATGAATTCATGCTATTCTGCTAGAATCTTTATTCTTGCTCTTTTCACAATGGTAAAGGGAACTATGTGTATCAAATAATATTAACGAACCTTCTCCTGTTTTCCGGTCTACATTTTTGGTTCGTAACTTGATCTCGGAAACCAACTGCTTTACAGAACCTCACAGCTTTGTATAAAATTCATGATATGCTCTTTGCATCAGCCTTCTACGAAATAGCCACGTCGTTCAAACTTTCTCAACCTTAGTTACATCGGTGGCTACTATACGCTTTGTATTTGCTACTATCTCACACGGTTAATCATGGCTCGACTTCCTTATTACACGGAAGTTATTTTAATTTCGTTTCCAGTTCATCTATATGCAATAAGGGTTTGGAAAATATCTAAACGACCTCCAAAGTTCTCCACGAACCACATCATAGTTTTATTATATGTTTATTTTTACACATCCCTTCGTAACGCTAATAATACCCTAAAGAACGTTCAGTACAAATATCAGTATACGTAAGGACAATGGTACTTCGATGTGACATTATAACACATCCGAGCTATTGTAGTTATTCAACTTCGTTACCATTTGCATGTATAATTGATTCCTATGATTTATACAATTACCATTATTGCCCGTAAAATTGTCGTCTGAAAAGCATGACCTTTATCCTTTCGCTCTGGTTTATGAACATACATAACATAGCATGTTGATTATCGCTCACAAATACACTGCTGCACACAGGCCGTTCCATTCCTCCCAATCAAAATTCTGGCCTTGTCATTCATCAGCTTATTAACCCTGACTGTTTTATATGGTTGAACATGTGTTAATCATAGATCCCATTCATCATGTGTCTGGAACTCATTTTAATTTGACTATAAATATAGACTTACGCTTCATTAAAAATAGTTTACTGTTTCGTTTTCTCCACTACACGTCATTCTCCTTCGTTTCACTCTCTCCTGTTTGCTTCCTTCGCTTCCTCTCTCGGATTGTCTGTTCAAATCAACGATTACACAGAATATCCGTACTCAAACTTTATTCTCGTTTTTTACTTATTTAATCCCGTTATTTGCTAAAACGATTAACGTCGATAAAAATACACGACCGTAGCTGAGATGCATACCTAAATAACAACCATTCATTGTTTCATAAACCAATCTAAATTGAGTCAGATACCCAAGGTCCATCAAATGATGTTCAATTGTATAAAGATGACACATTCAACACTACTGCTTTCTCCACATGCACCACGTTATGGCATTTTCTTATTATCCAGTCGAGGCATTTTCTGTTGGTGTATATATATGTTCTGACGAACTACTGTGAAATACTTGTGATTTAGCACCTCGCATTTGTACCGTAACAGTCCCAATCACTCATACATCGAAATTCATCAATTTGGTGCTTTAACAGTCTGTATATAGTACATTTGGAGAGTTTTAAAAAACTGGCCATCAATGCGAACAGAATGTTCAATTGAACATGAAATTCTCTTGAGAGAAAATTTTACAAATTCATCAAACAGCACGATCACATTCACTGTCCTCAGTTCTATGAGTACAGTTTACATTAATCTGTAATTGACGAGGATCTACTTACATCAAGTGGAAAGTTGAAGGAGTAGTGAACAAAATTCTCTCACCATAAACTTAATACGGATATGAGAAAAATCAGTTAAACTTGCGTCACATTGAAAATCACATCGTGATAAGAATATTATCATCAGCACTGTATTCAGTGTCCTCAATTTCATGAGTGCACTTCTCATCAGTGTTTCATATCGTGAGAACTCAATCAGTCTTGTAACCAAATTGAAAGTGCTTATGAGAATGTTTCAGTTCACTGTGTTTGGTTTCACACCAAAACAGTATATAGACAAACGTTCAAACAAACATGTTCATCAGAAAAATCGAGTTTAGAAGAAATATGTTGCAGCAATACAACCTTCTAATAAACGGGATCACTTTACTGACTTCATGTGAGTACATTTGAGGGTAATCTTCAATCACTTCACACGTAACGGGTTTGGGTTACTTCAAGTGTTACTCATTTACTAGAATTGGTTTCCCAATTTATTTGACGGTGGGTGGTTGGAGGTAGTTGACGAGGCATTCTAGACTAGTGTTACATGTTGATTGGCAACTTGTCCACAAAACAGATCACTGGGAAACAAGTTTGATTATTTTCCATGTAAATACAAATACTAACTTTTAATTCCATGCACTCATTTATGTGATTTAGTAAGTGGTCTCATCTGCGAAGCTCAGTCTCCTATCAAAAGTAAGTCTCTTGTTCATACTGTAATGCTAAAGTTGTTAATTGTCACACGTTAGAATCAGACGGCACCAACAGTTTCTTGAATATGTCTACTAAGAAATAAATCCCAGTCTGCAACTAACACAATGTTCCATCCATGTAGCTTCCTCATCACGGACCATCACACCCGCGCTTATTTCCAATGTGTTTTTCTCAGTTTGATCAGGAACACCGTCCAACATGGTGAAGTGTAGAATGAAAGGGGAACGTACAATCTCAGGAACATTAACTGTCTACAATTGTTAGTTAGACTACTTTCCAACATATACATCGCAATTAGTGATGCGAACCCAGACAGAAAGAAAATATCCTTTATGGATGTAGTGATGTTTTCTCTCAATTCTAAACTCACTCAGTGTTTGTATTTCATCTTAAGGCTGCCTCACTGGTGTTGGAGCAGATAGTGAACAATATTGATGCTCTACATGTTCCATTATCTTTTAGACATGATGAGTGCCACTATATCGGAATATGGGGAACATTATGTATCAAAAATACATAATAATTGTAAGCAAATATTATTTACCCTTATTGTTACTCCAACTAGCATTTGAGTGGATGTATTTAAAAATAGTTATTACTTGTTAGTTGTGCATGAGAACATCATGTCAGATATTGTCTTTTCGGTTGTCTAGATAAACTTCTCATTATGGCACTGGGACCTGATATGAATTTCACAAAGGAAGAATGTGGTATCAGTAAGTTTGTACGTGGTCTTATGCATTGACATAAGACGAACAAACTACTCGGTTTTAATAGTGTCATGTAAAGTAAAATCTTATCTGCTTGTCCACTGTATTGACAGTAATCAATAACTCCATATGGAGTTCTTGAGAGTTTTACTGTATTTAGTCAATATCAAACTTAACATCGAGGCAATCCGATCAATACCTAGAATAAATTATGAGAGGTAACAGTGAACTGTTATCAATGAATAGAAACGAACACCTACTAATAAAGACAGGCGAACTGGATTTCACAATGCTTAAACGGTAATATGATGAAGAAATTAAACTGAGACTTGAAAGCTAAGCGATGTAAATAATTTAGACAATAAAAGCAACGACTTCATGTTTTATAATTTATGCTAAATTAGAAATGCATATAAAATACACAACGTTATATTTTTGGAATGGAACACAATCTATAGAAAAGATCTCCAGTTAGTCATTTACAATTCTTCGAGTTCATTTACAATAATTTGTACTGTAAAGGCACGCATATCTCATGCGGATGAAACACAATCAAGTTCAGAATAAATAGGCATTGCAACGTGAAATAACGGGTAGGAAAAATCTTTCTTAATAGAGAACTATAAAATAGCAGTTTCGTAACATGATATTGGGTGTTAGCATTCATACAGGGAAGAAATTATGTATGTCTGAACGCAAGTCTCTCCGCCTACCTGTGTGTGTGCGTATGTAATTATGTATGTACTATTGTACATTTATCCCAGAATAAATAAGATACTCCTCCAGCAATAACGACAACTTTGATGATTTAAAAATTGATAGCGGAAATATGTCAACCCTGAGATGAAGTCAGGCAAAAATTAGAGACAGTGTAAGGAAGACAATCAAAATGGTATGAAAAACATTATCAATGTAAAACATCGTTCAAATTAGTTGAAAATGTTTCTCTCGATGATGGAAATAAGGAATTTATACATGGGACGCTTTCACTGTTCGGATCAGAGTTAATAGAATCTAGTTGTGCTTTAGAGGTGTGTTGCTCATCATAATTATCTTCGTGGTCAGCTTCATAATTCGTTGCATAATCCATTCCACAAACCACAGAATCAACAGGAAGAACATCAATATCAGAAATGTGATTTTCTCTCCTATCTGATAAGTTAGGGAAAGCATTGACCAAATTTGAACTACCTGCTTGGTGATGACGACGGCGACGACGTTTAGCAGCTTTCACGTTTGAACTTTTGCATAAAATAGGAGTTACCTTGTCTCTTATAGAAGTGGATCTCGTTTCACAATGTCCACTAGGTATGTTGTTCTCATCGTCAGTTGACTTAGATAAACAGGAAGAGCAATGACTCGAATCCTTCTGTGAAGGCAATGTACCACTAAATGTCGGCTGACCTGAAACAAGAAACATCTGATTGCCTGATAGAGCTACTGTAAGGAATTTCTTCGGGTGCCAGGATAAGTGAAGTATCTTACGTTGACAGTGTATCTGGTGCATTCCAGGGACAGTTGATGTCCCTGATTGAAATTCTTCCATAGACGTTTTTTTGACAGGCAGTAAATTTACAATGACATTTGAGTTCGGTACTGTGCAAGAAGAACTAACATCGTATCCACATTTCTCTATCCTATCACATTGAGAATGCTTGTTGTGATGACGATGTGTACTTTTGTGGTGACAACTACGGGCCTTCTCGTGTTCACTTTGTACAACACAATGAGAATCAGTAGAAATATCAGCACGAGAAGGAAGGATTTGCTTTCGACGCTTCGAACCTGTTAGAGGTGCTGAGGGAGTATTCTCTGTAGGGTTGGGATCTTCTAATTGACAGTGAGATAGCTTTGTTCTACCAGGTGACACCTCTGAGGTGTTCGAACTATCGTCAAATTTATTCCAATCATTATTATCACTATAGCTGCTATGCGAACTGGTTTGACTCGTCGTTTCTGGAAAGAGAGCTTCCACAGCATCCAATGGTGCTACGAAAATTGAAGATAAACCCAACCGACTTCCAATGGGATCATCAGGAGACATAAAACGTTTAGGTGATAAGTAACTCTCAGTATTACATGCAGAATTCGTGTTATAAGGATTGCTTGAATCGTCAAGGTCATACAACCAATCAGAGCCATTGTGACGGTCAAATATATGAAAGAGGTTGCCATAAGATCCCGTTATTGCATACCTGTATATAAAATGTAGGGAATATCGTATGATAGAAATATGAGTTTTAAGGTTGCACAGAACCGACTAGAGCAAATATATCACATCTCGATTAATCCTTAAAAATCTAACTCATGTATCAATGCACAACCGTTGCTGCTACCTTGACGTTGTGGTCAGGCTTGCTTATCGTAATGAACTAATCGAGCTATATTGGCTCGTAGAGGTTTGCATAATATGAATTACAAATTTTGTATACCTTAGAAGAACTGTCCGTGATACCGAATGAGTTGTGAGTTAAAATATCGTTCAATTTACGTTTATGACAAAATGAGCATGCTTTAACCCATTATTTTGGTGTTGATATTTCAGTGCTAAAATAATTCAAAGTCCAACCATAACCTCCCAAGTCCGAATCTGTCCTTGGTTCCGACTCGGATAACAAATTGTCATTGCTAGCCGTTACACAACATGTAGTTCGAAGCCGAGTAAATAATTCCGAACTCGATAAATGATTTATACCATTTATATCGGCACTCGAAATCATAGTATTTATATTTAATCTCCCTCTCCAATTTCTATTATACCTCCTACCTCGGCTTTCAAACTCTGAACTTCCTTCTCAAGTGTCACCATGGTCAGTGATTCTAGTGCGCAAAACACTGTCCAGAGCTAATGAAACCTCGCTCCAAACTACACATTGGAGCCTTCAACATACCCACCCTATGTCAAATCGATCAGCGGGCCTCCTCAGCTAAAACCCTAGAATCTCGTACCATTGATGTATGCTGTGTCTCCGAAACACGCATACAGGATCCTAGTGTGGTCATTCACTTGACCTCACCTTGCTAAGTTTGACTAAAATAGCATCTAAAATACTAGCCTCAATAAATGCCGGACGCCTAACAAAGACGCGTGAAGTGCAAACTCGTGAGAACCAGGCTGGCTTCAGACCTGGTCGTGGTTGAATCGACCACATATTCACCATTCATCAGGTCATTCATCAGGCATGCTTATCGGCGTCCGACAATGGTGATCTTTCTTGACTTTAAAGCACCATTTGACTCTGTAGACCGCGAGATTCTGTGGCAGTGTCTGTCATTGAGAGGCGTACCTCAGATGTACATGAACCTCGTGCAGACTCTTTACTCGAACATTACTAGTCGAGTCAGAGCTTTTGGCGAAATGTCATCTGCTTTCGTAACCTTAAGTAATGTCCGTCAAGGCTGTCCACTTTCTCCATTTCTCTTCAACTTCATCATAGATCTACTGATCGAAATAACGTCCGCGTCGACTGAATTTTCAGGAATTGATATATTTTCAAGAGGTCTACTTATCGACTCAGAATACACAGATGATATAGTCCTGTTTGGTGAAGACGTTGATAAAATGCAGAGTCTTTTGGTACCACTGAACAACAATGCCAGAGTGTTTGGGATGTGCTTCTCCCCCCTAAATGCAAGTTGTTGCATCAGGATTGGCCTGAACTAATTATAAGGAGTGAAGTAGTCGAAAGCGTCGACAACTTCGCTTACCTTGGAAGTCTGATCACCCCTAATGGGTTGGTGTCTGAAGAAATCTCTGTACACATCCAAAAACCTCGTTTGGCTTTTGCCAACTTACGTCACCTATGGAGAAAGCGAGATATTCGTCTATCAATAAAAAAACGAGTATACTGCGTGGCAGTTGATTCTATTTAACTTTACGGCTGCGAAACGTGGGCATTAAGAGTAGAAGATATTGGTAAGCTACTAGTATTTGACCACAGATGCCTTAGAAATATTGCTCGCATCTGCTGGGATCACCGGGTAAGTATTGGTGACGTTAGATGCAGGGTATTAGGGAATAATGGAAAATCAGTTGGTGAGGTTGTGAATCTTCACCGACTGAGATGGTTGGGCCACGTGTTGTGTATGCCTGAACAGCGATTACCACGACGTGCAATGCTAACCGGTGTTGGGGATGGTTGAAAGAAAGTTAGTGGCGGCCGCGCGACTATCGTAACTCATGGTTGGAAACTCTTGGTGACATGGCTCGGAATCAATCAAAATGGTGTAGGTGTATACACTATTTGTCTTCTCTTAAATCGTGGGATTCGAATTGCTTTATACCTTTCTTTCTACAGACTAATTCTTCATTTCTGTATCATGTCTTTATACACAATCTTTGTTTCACATATTACTACCGTTGAAGTAGCTACTTCAAAGAATTTGGTGTTCATCTTGTTGTGCAAATAATGAGCTGTGGCAACTTGGACCGATGCATATATGTGCCTGGTACTACATTGTAGCTGACTGACTGAATGAATGTGTCAATGCAGAAATCTCAGCATTAAACATAATCGTATTGTCGACTCACCAGTGTGGTTTTTACGAATCACAACAACTCTTCATCTGACGAAATACATCTCACAGTCAGTCCTCGGGAAATACCTCGAAAGCCAGAAAGAGCATCAACGAACCATTCTCATGGAAATCGACCATACAAACAGTCGTCTATTATTTTAGTGAAGCAACTCGATAGTGGGAAGATTAATGGTCGAACTGGTAAAAGCTTCGGTTGTACACTATATTCTCATAATAAGTGAGGATGCAATTATTTTCTTTACACTAATAAGGACTAGACAAGCATGACACTGATCACCACCCAGTGATCAATCAATTGTGATTACATCTCAGTCCTACAGGAGGTTAGTCACGACTCGGATAGCTCAGTGGTAACGCCTCTGACTGTGAAGCTGGGTGACACGAGATCAAATCCACCAGGGAGCACCAGTTCCCTCAAGATTACAGGTACACCTTGCTGACGAGTGCCAAGTAGCACGAAACCCGGGTACAGGGTTTCCTGTTGACTACCTCCAACCACCATCTAAATCTCAATACATAATGCCCGCAGTGTCGAGTCACCTAGACTGGTGGCCACATTGCAACATGATCGATAGCATTCGATCTGCACTAATAAGGACTAGACAAGCATGAAATTGATCACCACCCAGTGATCAATCAATTGTGATTACACTAATACCCCATTATCATAGTAGACGGACGACCGTTCAGTTAACAAAATATCAAGACTATCTTACTCAATACACGTCTCAGTCAACCACATGCAAAGTAGGACCTGGCATATATGTGCATCGGTGCAAGTTGTCTTACCACATTAACACAGTGAGATAACATTGTCAAGACAAGTACATGAGTAGCAGAAGTAGTTACAGTATCAGTAGTAGGAAAGGTCATATATGGCAGGAGAAAGTGTAACAAGATTTCTGGACTCAGGATTCAAGGAATGATTGAGAGTGTATACATTAGAGCAATCGTTAACGATTCTGAGTCATGTCACACCTACATATGCTTATGAGCCATAATTATCCAACATTGCAATTATTTAATAGTATTCTCCTGAACCCCGAGACAAGTAGTGTGTAAATTGTTTATCAGGTACAGATTTGTGCGCATCAACCTTCACTAACACTATTTTAGATATAAAAGACTAGTGATACTACCTCATCCAGTAGTTGAATACTAATTGATTTAACCATAATATTGATTAATTAAGGGGTTCACAGAGAGAAAGTTCATTAATCGACCATAAGTCTGAAACACTGAACGAAAGCACTGACCAACATCCTTATGAAAATGTATGTCAAAGCTTTAATACATACATATTTGACGAAAGTCTCAACAGTCAATGCGACTAGACGTTTACGTTTTACGCTACGTGAGTCACCAAACCACTTGCACAAAAGTTCAACGAATCAAAAACATGCATGTATCTGAATGGTCTGTCCGTAGGTACTAGGTAGTCACAACCGTTTATTGATTGTAATTGCTATTTAATTTTTATGGAAGAGCACAGATAAAAAGAAACAAGAAATATATATTTTTAAAGTTTACCTATCATCATCAGACCATCCACATAAGAATTTATCAAAAATAGCATCATTTTCATACAACATACAAAGTTGTGATCGAAATGGTTCATGAACTGAATAAATTTCACACGGTCGATCGCCCATTCTCATATCCCAAACTAAGGTAGAGAAAAGTTTAAGATAAACAGTGAGTGAAGAAATCGGTAAATACACGAGTAAAGCATTTCTAGCTTCCAGTAAACCACAGCAGTACGTAGGTTGAGTTTCAAAAGCTTGAACTTCAACCAGCAGCTAGACCAATAGTATCTAATGAAGTGTGAACAAGTAATAGCTCATATCTCTACGAAACTGTTAAGGCGCACTCACCAAACTGGGTGTGAATCCAACCCAGTAAATTGAAACCACTTGTGATTCAACTCAAAGAACACAAAACCGTAGCAAGCGAGTTACTACACTCACATAAACTGGGCAAGCATTTTAACCCGTAACTTTGTACGTTGATAACGAAACAATGAAGGAAACTTATAAACCAAAAGAAACTGCTTCTATGAGAAAAACGCGATAGGAGCCGGAGGGGAAAACTAGGCATTATTATCGTTAAATTTCTATGGAACGATGTTTAAAATCACCTCGAACAATATCACACAACAATACTAATAATAATAAACAACGGAAACCATTAAGATCGTTATGTTCGTCATACGGCTTACTACTACACCTGAAGACTAGGCCACGAATCGCCATGAGGCAGACAGTTCTACCAACATGTATAGAGCTATCGCACATCTCGACAATTAACATTGAGGAAAACTTTGACAAACCATTTTATCATAATAGTTTTGAAACGCTGACAGGTGCCTGTGAATTACTTTACTATCTTTGGTGTGCAGCCATACTAGGACCTACTGCTTTAAACGTTCGGAATTAAACAACAGCGTGCGTATTTTATTGTGAAAGTGTGTGTTCAATCTTTCCCTTCGAGATATTAAATAAATCATCTTCGAAATGCGGTAATCCAACCCAGTCTGCCGAACCTCCGAGGTTATGGCACTCATAACTCAACATCTAAACCATATCTTTCTCATTTTAAATTTACAATCCTAATATACATTAGTTTACAAGTCAGTCTGTAATAAGCAACGTAGAATCTGGAATATGTGTGCATCAGTTAACGCTCCAACACCACGTCAGCGCAGTGAGGTGAAACAATTGAAACAAGTCTCAGAGTGGTGAAACTAGTGACAATATCAGTTGTGGTACAACGGATTAGGCATAAACAATACTCAATAGACACAACTATGTGCTTACAAGATGGATAATTGTGACGGTGCGCGTATCAATACCACGGTTCGACTAAACAATTTCAAATAAATTAAGTATCAGGTAGAATACTAATCATAAGCATCCATACATTTGTTCGTCTTATACCTTAAAACGATGACCACTTGTGTGTGATGTAGTAGTGAAAGCAATCGACCACATTATAAGGTGAACAGCATTATGACCCATACGATACGCTTCAATAAACTTCTGTGTGTCAAAGGTTATAAATTTGGAGCTTATATATGTGAGACAAGTAAGATCTATTTCTTGGTGAAAACCATTTAGTTCACTCTTCTTTGAATATACTTTGAGTCGGATACACACCTCTTAGACATGCGGACATGATGAAGAATATTTTTAGAGATGGAATGTTGAATAAACTTTGAAGACAGTTTCAAGTAAACCTGCATTAACTGGACTTCTGTAGAAACACTGCACGAGAAATCGACATCCGTAATGATGAGTGAGGTTCTGGAAGCTCTCGGAGAGTTTGATATGGACGGAGTATCACTACTCCTCAATACAAGTATCCTGAAGTTACTGCTGTTGCAGTGAGGGAGATTACTATCGCTTTGGTCATTTATCTTACATAATTCTTCCTCAATATCTAAGACATCATTCGGTCATGTGTGGTAAAATGGAATAACGTATGCTTTCATGTGGCCTATTATCCTACCATGAATGTATACATAACATTTATCATTTGTGATTTTGTAATCTACTTTAGCGCAATAATTGACTCACAAGGTGCCTGGATTCACTTAACACTTTCGTATATCGATATAAATACTCCCTCAGCATTATACAGTAAATGTTCATGGTGTCCAATTGGAAACAATACTGCCCTCTTAAATATATTGTTTTAACAATTGTTTGACGTGCAGTTGTAAATTTTGACTACTGGTAGTGTTGCATCCGTTGTTACTTACTTACAACTGTTACCCGTCATGTAGAAGCATAGGATGCTCACCAGCATTCTCCATGCAACCCTGTCCTGGGCAATCCGTTCCAGTTCTTTCTAGCCGCTATTTATTCTATTCATGTCTGTTTTCGATTCCCGACGCAGTATGTTCTTTGGCCTTCCTCTTTTCCGTTTCCCTTCAGGATTACAAGCCAGGGCTTGCCTCGTGATGCCGTTTGATGATTTCCTTAAAGTGTGTCCCATCCACTTCCAACATCTTTTTCTACTTTCCTCCTCAACTCGAAGTTGGTTTGTTCTCTGTCATATTGGGCTGTTGCTGACGACATCCAGCCAGAGGACATTCAGCATCTTACGTAGACAATTGTTTAGAAATACTTGTACGATTTTGACGACAGTTGTAGTAGTTTTCCAAGTAGAACTGTCTTGACGTTCGTATTGAAGATACTGTCTTTGATATTGGTTGACAATTGTTTTGAGTTGCAGATGTCCTCCAACTGTAGAAATGCTGTCCTTGCCTTGACGATCCTCACTTCACATCTACATCAGATCCTCCATATTCATCGATGATGCCACCCAAATACGTGAAACGTTCCACCTCTTCCAGAGATTCTCCATCAAGTGTGATTGAGTCGGTGTTCTCCGTGTTGTATTTGAGGATCTTGCTATTTCCCTAATGTATGTTGGGGCCTACTGATGCAGAGGCTACTGTCACACTAGTTGCCGTGACCTGAATTTGTTGATTTGTATGGGATAGAGGGGTCAGGTCATCTGAGAAGTCCAAATCGTCTAGTTGTAGCCAAGCTGTCCGTTGTATTCCGTGCTTCCCCTCAGATGTGGAGGTCTTCGTAATTCAGTTAACCACCCAAAGAAAGATGAAGGGGTAGAGTAAGCAGCCTTGTCTGACTCCGGTTTCCACTTAGAATGAATCTGTTGTCAGCTGTCCTCCACGCACCGCTTTGCACTGTAGTCCGTCGTATGAATTCCGTATGATATTGACGATTTTCTCAGGTACATTATAGTGTCGAAGAAGGTTCCATAAAGTTCTCCCAACCATACTGTCAAATGCCTTCTCATAGTCAATGAAGTTTATGTACGGTGACGAGTTCCATTCAATTGATTGTTCAACGATGATCCGTAATGTCATGATTTGGTCTGTGCACGATCGATAGTTACGGAATCCAGCCTGTTGATCTCGAAGTTGGGTATCTACTAAGTCTTTTATGCGGTTCAATAACAATCTGTTGAAAATCTTTCCACGTACTGACAGTAATGTGATGTCACTGTAGTTCTCACATTTGCTCAGATCTCCTTTCTTTGATATCTTAATGAGGTATCCTGTTTTCCAGTCTGTCGGCACTTGTTCTTCCTCTCAAATCTTTCTGAATAGAACGTTGAGCATACTTTCAGTTAATTCTATGTGACTTCAGCCATTCGGCTGGTATACTGTCAAGTTCTGCTGCTTGCCCGCTCTTGATTTGTCTGATGGTAATCCTGATTTCTTCCATCATCGGTGGAGTGACATCTATAGGAAAGTCTGCAGGTGCTGCTTCGATATCCGGAGGATTCAAAGGAGCTAGTCTATTGAACAGTTCCTCGAAGTGTTCCACCCATCTGTTCCTCTGTCCTTGAATTTCAATGATTGGCTTTCCTTCTTGTCCTCTCTGGTTTACTATATTCCCCTGTTAGTTTCTTCGTTGTGTCATATAATTTTTTCATATTTCCCTCTCTTGAAGCTTCTTCCGCTGTCGTATACTCAGTATACTCAGCTTGTGCCTTGGCTTGCTCTGTTCTTGTTTGGCCGTTGTTAAGTGCTGTCTTCTTGTTCCTCCTTTCTTGAATCTTTCCCAGGGTTTCCATATAGGTCCATTCTTTATGATGATGCTTCTTGTGGTCCAGAACCTCTTGACATGTTGAAGTCAGTGCTTATTTGATGCCTTTCCATTTATTCTCTATGGTAATTTCCTCTTTCCAGAGTAGATCTTGTAAGACTTGGAACGTGTTGCGGTGAGTTATGTTGGATTCGTTGAGTTTGTTAGTAACTCAAAGGAAGGCTGCAATACTACTTCTCCAGTTTTCCTGTGCTTCTTTAGCTTCAGTTTCGTCTTGGCAACCACCAGGTGGTGACCTGGAGCTATGTCAGATCCCCTCCTGATTTTCACGTCCTCATTTCCGTTGCTATTTGACTAGTCTTCCCGGTCTCCCACATTGTTCTGACGTTCCATGTACCCATAAAAATTATTGCTCTGGTTGTTAGAAAAGGCATCAACTTCGTGACTTCCGAAGAATCTCGGCCTTCATCATGAGGCGTTATAATTCTTCCTTCAACTCCCAGGGGAGAATTTAAGTGGTTTAAATTGTTTATTCTGGTTAGAGTTTTTTAGAAAGTTTGTTTTCTAAGGGATGGGGTTGCGGACCCTATGCCCAACTCTGCTCCTTTACTCGGGGCTTGGGACGAGCAGTAACTCTGGAAGGGCTACAGGCGAAGTTTGAATCCATTGTGCATCAACCTAATCATGCCTATAATTTGGTATGCATGTTGTAATTGTGAGATGGTGAAGATTTGTAGCTCAGATGGATGATTTTGATGGAGTTTTGTTCTCTGAGCTGGATGGTTTGGTCGTGGAGCTTTCATCGTCTTTTTGAACGACATTATCAGCACAAACTTCAGGTAAAAGTCTAACTGAAAGCTCCAAGACCAAACCATCCAGCTCAGAGAATGAAACATCAAAAAAATGTTGTAATTGTCTTTAGGAGCATAATATTACCTTTATTTTTATTATTATATTGTTACGTGTAATACATACATAAACACTTTTCTTCTACTTTCTTTCTTTTTAAATTAAAATGTAGCAAGAACAAACAAATACGACAGTCTGCGATTATTACAATAAGTAGAATAACTCTCTAATACAATCATATTATATTATACTAACTGTGTGTCAGATTTACCAAGCTCATGTCCGAAAAGAAAAATTCGAATTATTAAGCTACTGAAAAGAGAACAGTTTTAAACTTGAAAAAAAATCTGAAATAAACTGTTCTTTCAAGACTGGTGAATAAGTACTCTTGGTATGTAGTTAACCATAAAATTACTTACATTATTGATAAACCTATTATTTAACGAATAACTGTGTTAGGTTAGGCTGGAATCAATAAACATTTGGTCGTTTTATGTAACCTTTGCTTATCTTATGCATATATTGGATTGTCGACCAACACCTAACTCGCAGGCATGTTATACTCATTTAATATTTTGTCAGCAAATGGTCCCATAAACCCGGAAGGACATATACATATATATAAAGCTTGTGACTTCAAGCAATATCGAGGCAGTCCGCACAGGATGCACATATGCCAACAAGAGACTGATCATTTGCAGTCCTAAATAACAATGGCAAGTTACAAGTAAACAACACCAAGTGAATATCCAGTTTTTCGATATTCAGGATTGCAATATTTCGAGAATTTGTTGACTTATGTTTATTATGTGTATCCTTAGCCTATGGTTCGAAATAGCCTTTTTGCTTTATGTGTTATTATATTTGGGATTCATCATTTAAGTTTGCATATTATCTGACCATTGATATTCAATAATAAATTTCCGTAAGTCCTTATTTAATGATAACTAATTGAATAAAGTGTTGACGGGTGGAGCGAAAGGTAATAAACTCGAGTCTCCATGTGAAAAAGAACAATAATGGCATGGGACCACATTCAGTTGACAAGCCACAATACAAATGTAATTACATCGTAACTGTAAATCTAAAAAAACCAAGATGCCTTCGAAAAATGATACTGACATTACTAATATCCAAACAATATATATATATATATATATATATATATATATATATATATATATATATATGGATATAAAATTTATGATAAAATTATGGTTTCACTCACTTTTCAATGTTAAATAATCTCTGGCTAAAAGATAATTTCCAGTATGACCGAAGCGAAAATCTGATAAACTTGCAATAATATCGGCGAAAAATCCCAGATTTTGTGAAAGACTTGGATCCTCAAACACTAAAATACGTAAAAGTCAACTAGGCAGGTAAAGTTGTCAGTGTTCGGTAGAATAAATAAAAAAGGAACCTTTAATCAAGTGGTATGATGGCAAACATTCGGAAGGATATGTATTATATTTATTGTTGGCATTCAGGAATGAATTCCAAAGAAAACTCAGTCTGAACGTCGACGAAGAGACTATAAAAATCCTTGAGAAGAAACATAATGTATTAAGCACTTTAGTTGTTATGGTTCCATAAGAACACAAAAGTCTCTGTTTCCTGTTGGGCTTCTTGTGATTGAGGCGGTGATGGTAAAGTTTCTTGACACATTTGCATAGTGATTATTTCTTTTTATGGTTGTCGGACTGATGACTTTCTGTTCAGTTGATGACCTTCCTCTCACCAATAAGTGCAGTGTTCAAGATAAACGGATTCTACATAGGCATCAACTTAATCAGGGTCCACAGACTATACTCATTTGAAGGAGCATATACCTATTAGAACAATGGCTCTGATGTGGCGTCGATTGCCGCCAAACTAGTTGATTCTTCGGGCATTAAAGAGAAAAGTAATCTATCAGTCGTTATTGTTAAAGCGCTGAACATTCGCTTTTTGTTCTCTCAATTTGGTAAACAACGCCCCTGCTGCGAGAAGGCAATGAGTAGGACTTCCCTGGCAGTGGTATGTACTCGGTCATGTGAGAGCATTCAAAGAGAGAGCTGACTCTCCCCACTCTCGGGCGTATCAGGGCATTTGGGTGAGAATCTTCGCCTGTCTAGAAGTTTCATCTTTGTTAATCCTAATCCGATATAAAATTATTGGCTATCTGGTCCTAGTAGCTTAGACAACAGCGCTTTCGAGTTTGAATTAATAAAAAATGGGTTTAAGCCTCACTTTGCCCATCAACACTGAGTTTTACGTAGATCTAGCTGACGAGTCCAAACAGAACGAAATCCCCGTCTAGTGCCTCAGTGCGAACCGAAATCCAAATGTACAAAAATCCTAGGTAAATAATTCATGTTAATAGGGTTCCAATATTAAAGTTGACTTCTCAGACCTCTGCATCGAATTTATAAGAACTTCGATTCCTGACAGATTTTTACTAGACTGACGAACTATTTTAGTTATTCCATGAGAAACAATCATTAAGCATTGCTTTTATATGTCATATCAACGAATCAAATTGATCCACAAATAAAGTTGGACCTGAAATAGGTCCACAGTTATATACTGAACTATGCTACCACAAAATTAAAAGTGAAGCGGTTGAAATTGGAATATCAGTGATAGTGAAAACATAACACGTTACTACAAAATAACAAACAAAATAAGATAGAATACATGACAATAATAAGATTTATAGTATTAAAATTAATGGGTAATTGTGTCTCGTCTATTCTGCTTACGATTTTTTGAGCGATGTTATCTAAATATTTGACTACAGACAATTCATGTTTTGAAATAAACACCTCCCTTGGTAAAAGATAAAATTAAGAAAAAGCGTAATGACAGTTTAAAAAAACTAATGGATATTGTTGCCTGTTGATTTACAATTAAACAATCGCAAGTAAATATTTATCTTTTAAAACACCTTTGGTTATTGGATATGTTTGGTGAGGAAAATAAATAAATGAAATATCCCATAACAGACCAAAGTCATATTCTCAAACGTAAGCTCCTTTGAATTTTTTCAAGTTTTATAAAGCAAGTTACAATAGTTATTTATTATTATTATTATTATTAATGGCTTTATTCAATATTATATTTTGGCACAATATACAATTCTCAGCACAGGTTATTTCAACAAGTTACTCGCGCAACAACAAAAAAACACAGTAACGAATATAAAAAAAAGTGAAAAAGGCTTTTTAAAAAAGAGAGAAAAAAACCGAAGAACTGTACAATTTTCCAAATTAGAGACAGGTTAGGAATGCAGGTTATTGACTAGGTTAACTCTAACAACCTGTTCGTCAAAGAGTATATTTGCTAGGTAAAGTATTATAGAACTTTTATACTTTTGCTTGCGTGCATGGATTTTAATGTAACTACGTCTTGTTCTACCAGAAGATATACAAGGAGAAAGATAAGTGTGAAGGGGATGGCTAGTATCTGATAAAATAACACCTGCCAGGAATTTGCCTGACTTGAGATCTCTATCCACAACCATATTAAATATGACCTCGAAAGATTCACCACACACCATGCTAACTGCCTCTAGTACTCTCCGCAATACAGCAAAGTCTTTTTTCAAAAGTCCGGGAAAGAATAATGGAGAATAATAGGTAATATGCAAGAATTGACAAATTGTAAGAGTAAATGACGAGTAACCCCAAGAGCATGCAGTTTCTTTATGTAGTAAGTCAGACGGAAAACTTTCTTCAATAACAATAAAACGTGAGAAGACCAAGAGAGATCAGAGGAAAAGGTAACACCAATAAAATTGACCTTCGACACCGTGTTTATCAGTCTCCAATGGTACAAGCAATATGGGATCCCAAAGTGGAGTTCAGATGCCGTTCATGCCTAATGCTAAAGTTAACAATCTGACATTTAGACGGATTAAGTATGAGACCATTAACAACAGACCAACAATCAATACGAGACAAAAACTCATTCATTTCTATGGGATGTAAAGAGGCAGAGATAGGCATACATACAGTGAGAACATCCGCATATTTCACAAAAGTGTTTACTGTGGAAGATAGCAGATCATGCAGAAAAAGAGAAAAGAGGTGAAAGAACAGCTCCTTGTGGTGCACTCTCTGAACATTTTCCTCCAAACATAGTGTACTGTTCCCTTCCAGATGTAGGATCATAGCCAGTTGGTTATCCGGCTGTCAGTTTTGACGCTGATTAACTTGTTAATTAAACGTTGTCTTGGTATAGAATCAAAAGCAGAAGTATAGTCCAGAAAAGCGCAGCGAACATACTTTCCCTTTTCCAAGTTGAACACTATACTGTGATGCAGAACAGCAACGGCATCTAAGGTACTTCTTTTGCATCTGTAAGCAAACTGATACGGATTAGTGTGCTCTTTTATCGTGGGCTGAAGTGGAAGTATCAATAATTTTTTCCATTGTTTTGAGGAAGGGTGAAGTTATTGCAATAGGCCTAAATTTCATATTCGTATCACCAGATACATTCTTGCGTACAGAGATTATCTTCATCTTTCTCCACATTTTCGGTATGAGATTAGATGAGAAGGATCTGTTAAAGATAGCTGTGAACGGATAACATAGGACGTCAGCACACTTTTTTAAAAAGGATGTTTGGGATACCATCAGGTCCCAAACATCGAGATGAATTAAGCGACTGGAGACATCTTCGTACATCAGTCTCAGTGAAAGTAGGAATACAGCTATTATTTAAGCCCGTGGATAGAGTGAGCATCACATCAGATGACTGACGTACAAAAGACTTATTTAAGTCACAAACATTCAGCTGGTTATCGCTTCTAAACTGTCTGTCACCTGTAAGTTCTTTAAAGAGTTTCCACATACTTGGAGATTTTTTGCAAGACAAGAGTTCTTGAGTAAACATACAAACTAACAAAAACTGTGATAGTAGTGAGTTACTTGTACGCTATTTCGTCGAGACTGTAGAGTAATTATGTAAGATTAATGCCATAATACCTTTAGTGAACACACATTGACCATGTACATTTCACAAGTTAAGGAGTAAGAAAGAATCAGGGTTTCAGGATACTTTAAAAAATTTACGGCTTTAATGAATTATTATTTCAATTATCATAGTGACAATCTGAAAATATAAGCATTACACCATGTATATATCTATATTTTACACGTAAATCGACTTCATTATGTATGGAACAGCTTACCAAGTACATGATCGTCACATAGAGCACGATATCGCATATCGCATAACCGAATCAAACCTCGACTAGTTGAATAGGCTAGTATATTACATTGAACAGGGTGAAACCGTGAACAAGTAATGACTTCACTTAAATCCTCCATATTTGACGGTTTTAAATCGACAATAGCTAGAAAACAGTAAATCAAAACAACGAGAGTATTAACAATTAAAAGAATAGGAAGAAAAAGTGATGCAGTCAGGACTATTGATGATAGGCTTTTTATTCATAACCTATTCAAACCACTGAATCATACGACAGTGCGAACTGTGGCTAAAACTGTTCAGTGTTACATGCTGTCCTATTCTGACCACATATACTAGCACAATTTGAGGATTTGTAACTGTTAAGTTTGGAAAATAATTTATTGAAAACAATAATTTATTTCTTGTTTTTGAACCCCAATTATTTAGCCTTTGGAGTACACCAGTTTAGTATGATTACAATTGAACTGTAACACTTATTCACACTCAAGCTAGTTTCCAAATTCAATTTAATCACTTTGACTTTCTTTTAGTTTTCCATTACTCAATAATTCACAGTGATTCCTGTTTATTAAACAAGTCAGTATAAAATGCTATTTCACCTGAATAAAGTTGAAATTACTTGGAGTTTGAGTACAAACGTGAACAAGACCTAGATTTAGTTATGTTTCGAACAATATACAGCGAGAGTTATTACTACTTTTTAATTGTTACGCCAAGAAATAGTTATTTATTAACACTACTAATAAGCACTGATTGGCCATTTTAGAGAGGACACTGAAAACTGATGCACAAAAATATACGCATGACTACATAAGTAACTTAAAGTTTATCAAGATTTAAACCATAATTCCAGATAACTAGGTTGTTGAACATATACATTTATTAGAAAATCTGCTCTATACTTAAATCACTACTATATGCACGCATAACCGGCTGTTGTTCTATTAAATCGATAAATAAACTATATAAAAGAAAGAAGATATTTGTTTGATATGCTTTGGAATAAATCATTGAATCTGTTCAGACATTTGGATAAACCGACTAAGTTCAATTATCCATAGTGCTATCTGTACTTTTCATTCGCACTTAAGCAAATTCTTCATAAAAAAGAGGATATTGTTAGTAATTCAGCTCGCTAGGACTCATACAACAATGTTTCAATCAATATTTTAGCAAAAACTAAAGAGATATTAAATTCCATTCTGTTATGGAGGAAGTTTGCCGTGATTTATTTACACGAAATTTCCTATTATTAAAATCAATGAACAGAATGCTAACCGATAAATGCACTCAATACGGTCAAGCGATGACTACTCACGAAACCGTATTATTGACTTAAGTCTCCGAATAATTGAAAGTCAAAGGCAAGAGATAAGACCACTAACCAGATGAGTTTAAAGAAATAAAATAACATCTTCATATAAAAAATATGAAAAATTATTTTATTATTTATTTATTTATTTGAACACATAAATATTGGTACAAGAATGCGCCACACAAAAGAATGAGAATTTAAGGGGAAGGAAAAAACAAGAGAGAATAATAACGAAGAGATCGATGTAAGGTGGTGTAATAATAATAATGGTAAAAATGGGGGAACGGAAAGGTTCAATAAGAAAAAACCTTTCAGTTAAGGAAGATACAACCATTTTTTATGAAGAAAGTAAAAGAAGGTTACAGCACGATCGCCACTGGCTTCTATCCTGAACCATATCTGATAACGTCTCTAGCCACTGTGTTGCACCATCTCTCGGACCCCAACCAGGGAGTCGTGAAGGATCAACACAAGCCAGCCCTTTGCAGCTTTCTTTCATACCACGACACCATGTCATACACTGACCACCTCTCCGCTTCTTCCAACCAGTCCCAGAGTCGGCAAATAATGCACGACATGGACTTCTCTGGGAGGACATTCATAGAACAGGTCCAAGTCACCGAAGTCGATGTTTCAAGATGGTGACACCAATTGGATTATCATCTCTGTGACCGAACACACGATGCCGAACCTCTGCATTACTAACATGGTGTTGCCACTGGGTGTCAGCAATCCTTCGGAGACAACTATGATCGAACACAGAATGTCGTCTAACGTCCTCAACTCGGAGAGCCCAGGTTTCACAAGCATATAGCAAAACTGCTCTCATCGAAGCGTTGTAGGTCCGACCTTTTACAGCCAGACTGACATCACAAAGGCGCCAAAGATAGCCCAGATTGGCATAAGCCTCTCTGGCTTGCACTATACGTGCAGTGATCTCATCACTCACACCCCCACCAGCACTTATGCAGCTTCCCAGATACACGAACTTCTCGACTATTTCTATCTGCTCACCATCCAGGGTGAGTACAGGATTAGGATCCTACCAGTCTTGTAGAAGTATTTTGCACTTCGAAGGTGCAAAGCACATACCATACCTACGGACATTGATTGCTAACTGATTAAGTGAGGATTGCATGGCTTGGGCATTATCACACAGTAAGACAATATCATCCGCATACTCAAGGTCAAGAAATCTTTCTCCAGGCAACAGATCCACACCACCATTACTTACACCCACCAGAGCTGTTTCCAGAATGTCAATGATGGTGAAGTTGAAGAGGAATGGTGAGATTGGGCAACCCTGCCTAACCCCACTGCACGAATGGAACAATGGAGAAAGGTGGTTGTATGCCCTCACTCTGCCTGAGGTGTTTGTATATAGGGCTTTTAGGATGTTAATAAACGTCTCAGACACACCCTTCTTCAATAGACAATCCCAGAGAACAGTCCTGTTCAACAAATCGAAGGCAGCCCTTATGTCAAGAAACACTACGATTGTTGGCCGGTGATAAGTATGACGGTGTTCTAACATTTGGCGGAGGGTGAAGATATGACCAGTACATCCTCGACCAGAACGAAAACCAGCCTGCTCCTGGCCAGTCACTCTTTCTCGGGTTTTGAACAACCTACGAAGAATGACGGGAGCCAATAGCTTGGATGCAATCGCAAGTAGACTTATCACCCGATAGTTGTTACAGGAATGACATGAACCCTTTTTAAAGATAGGGACAACTATCGACTCATTCCATGACGTTGATACACTCTCGAGCTCCCAGACCTTTGTAAACAACGTCGTCAGTTCCTCAGTCACAAAGTCACCACCATCTTTAAAAAGAGCCGGAGGCAAGTCATCTGGGCCAGGTGATTTGTAGTGCTTCAAGAGTTGGAGTTCCTTGCGGACTTGCTCCTCGTTTGGTGGATCAGTCGTCACCGGCCATGGAGCGCAGGACAGTCTGACCGATGTTTCCGGAGCAGCAGACCAGTTGAACTGCCCTTCGAAAAATTCTGCCCATCGTCCAAGACGTTGATGGATGTTAGTGATTGGCATCCCGTCCTCCTCACAGATTGTTTCGCTCACACCAGACTTCTTGCTGCCAGTGGCTCGGATGGGTTGGAAGAGCTTCCGGTAATTACCAGATGCAGCTGCTGCTTCTAGCTCATTAGCACGCTCCGACCACCAGGCTTCTCGGTCCTTACGCAAGCCTTGCCCGATTTCATTACGTAACATCCTTCGTTTGTGGTCAAACTCACGGTCACCCAGAGTAGACCGACGGGCTTCAATGAGTTGTAAGGAACCTGGAGAAACCCAGTGCTTATAAGCGGGACGTTTCGCAAACCCACAACTGACTGTACCCGCCATTTTCATGGCGTTATGCAGTTGCAACCAATGCTCATCTATACTTTTCGGTGGAATGGTAGCTAGCCTAGAAGCTAGCTCAGTTCGATACTTACTTGCAACAGAAGTTGCAACCAACCTGCTGACATCAATCCTTTGGTGGTGGTCACTTCGTTGTCCACTGAAAAGTAAGGTAAGACTGGCGCAGACCAGGGCATGGTCAGAGTCCAGGTACTCCAAAAGGAGCGGCAGTCTTGTACACAACCACGCCAGCGGTAGCTGATCGCGATGTGATCAATCTGAGTCCAGGGCTTGAAATGCAGAGGGAGGACGCCAGGTAGCACATCGGCGATGACTGTGCCGAAAGTTAGTGCTAGCCAGAAACAGGTTGTGGTCTGTACATAGTTGGAGTAGACGGTCCCCGTTATCTGACCTGCGACCAACGAGTCCCCATCGGCCACCTAAACGACTCTCTTCTGTGCCTAGACGCCCGACCTGAGCATTCAAGTCTCCGGCTAGTACTACAAATATCTGTCGAACGCACTTTCTGGAGAAGAACAGATAACTGGTGGTAAAACTCATCCTTGATTGCATCCGGGCTGCAATCTGTCGGGGCATAGGCGGAGATGACGAAAAGATATCGTTTCTCACGCCGATTTCTTCTCACTTTGATGGAACTTTCTAATCTAACAGCACATAACCGACTGTTAATGGGTATCCAATCGATTAGTGCTGCTTCAGCTCTAGCGCTTAGTGCGACACCAACGCCAGCAAGACCAGACGAAGATCCCACAGGGTCCCCGGATAAGCGCACGTAAAACAAGCTTTTCGAAGCGACAGATGGAGAGCGAATTTGTAGTACTTCACCAGAGTCTTGAATACGAGTCTCGGATAGACAGCAAACATCGATATTAAGACTTTCTAAAGACATAGCTAGACCTATCTGTTGTCCAACCTGCATAGGTGTGCGAACGTTGAAGGCAGCTAGTTTGATTGGTGCACGTGGTTTCAGAAAAACTGCTTCAGTACTCATATTCAGTGGTAACATACAATTTTCAACCGGACAGTGACTCGAGAACGTTTAGATAGAGTCGAATTTCCACCATAGACGAGCTGCTGTATAAGTCGAAAAAAATAAATACAAACAGAGTGGGAATAAAAGAGGGTGAATAATGACTTAGTAAATAATAATAAGAATAATAACAATAATAATAACAATAACAATAATAATAATAATAATAATAATAGCAATAATAACAGCAATAATAATAATTGAATCATTTGAATGTTCGTCGAAGCAAGAGAATTAGTTTCCATGATCATAGACAGTTCAGTTCATTAATTCTGTGTGGGCTGTGATACTGCCCGCGTGCCCAAACCGAAGCAGGTGGTTATCTTAGGGGGCCACACCCCGAGCCTTTGACCTAATGGTCTAACCCACAAGGCAGTGGAGCATCGTGAGATGCAGTCCCATGGTAGCCGGTGACCAACAATTGGTTCATACGCCACTTGTTCCCGCAGGGTACTGGAGCCCATGTGCACCATTGGTTTGTGATCCGGTTAAAGCGCCGGACATTCGCTTTTCGTCCTCTCATTTTCGTAAACAACACCCCCACCACGAGAATGCAGTGAGTAGGACTTCCCTGGCAGAGGCTATATACGCGCGGCCGTGTGAGAGTATTTCGAGAGGGAAGGCGGACCCACCCCGCTCTCGGCCATACCAGGGCATAAAACTTCACAGGCGGTTGGAGAAAATCAGTTCGTAGGTTACTCATTCTCTAATCAAGATCTAACTGCTGGGCCTAATTTCTGGGCATAGTATCACATTCCCTATTCGGCAAGAAATACTGACTTATCAAGCAATGGGACTATTCATTAAATTCATGTACACTTAAACGGAATTATGTAGAAGATATAAGACATCCCATATGTTTATCAACTGATTATAGTAATTAAGAAGAAAAACTCGCTTCAGAAAACATAAAATAAGGCTTTCTGTTTCGCTTGTTAGGAGCCTAGAGCACTAGTCATTCTTTAGTTCCACAATTAGCAGCTGGACCTTCGCTTTCAAATCTTGAAATGGAAAAATAAACATTTGACTTTCATAAAAGCTGTACAGTAAAAAAGCACCAAATAACATATAATTTAAAATGGAAAATTAGTGACTTTATACATAAGTATGAATACGAAGGAGTATCGGGGAACTAACTTCCTTCCAAATAAAGTGTTGAATGAATAGCATAAATAAATGTATTGAAATGCAATTGTTGCCTAAAAAATGAAAGATGGTAAAATTTGTGATATGATTCGAAATTAGCTTCAGTGATATGGATGTATTTATTTTGTACTTCCTCCTAGATTCTAAGTTTTGGCGCTATTTCATACTTTACATTCATTTATTCCATTCCTTTTCGGATTATATTCCCCATATCTAGTTTTATTATCAATAACATTAATATTATTTAAAGTTCCTTGCTACATATCTGGTTAATCTCACATTGTGGTGAGGGAACCTGGGCTGAATCTGTATGTTCGAATCATGGTCTACATTGACCGAGATAATTTGAGATTAAAAAATTACAGGAAAAGTCCATTTATTATCAATTATGGATATATAATTCTAGAAATTTAAAATTAGTAAATAAACATACTAAATGACTGATCGGTCACATCTAAGTGCCAAAGATTAATGCGTAAATCGTCAGCCGAAAGAAATGTTTCTTGATCAGAATTTACAGAAACCGCATTTATATGATAAGCATGAGCATTGGCAAAAAAACGTCGTGGGCGGGCTTCGATTGTAAGATGACGAGATTTACGAAACTTCGGAATACGCAGTTTATCTGGAGTAATTATGTGAGGAATTGGTGGTCCGATCATATTCAGTCGATCCGAGCTTTCATCCCATAAACTAGCATTCTCATCGTCACGTATATTAAAATTATATGCTTCATAGTGTCTTTCTGATAATCTCCACAGTTTAATGGTTTTATCTAAATAACAGTGAAAAGAACATGAAACTATTCACAGGAAATAAAGCAGGATTTATGTAACACTGAATTTCAAAGTAGATGAGAGAGCAAAAACACTACAAAGTATCTAGTGGTTGGTACAATGTAGGAAAATACTTTTGCTGAAACTGAAGCAAGCTTTGATGTAATAAATAATCATTCAGAAAAGAGAACTCAAGCTACTAAGAAATGAGAGCCACAAGAACAGTATTTAAGTAATGAGCCGATTAAACACTCGAACGACTATCTATTTATTGTCTTTAATGTGTGTGCCTCGACTCAGTTTACAATAAATACACCTAAATTTCATTTAATCTCGATAGACTATACACAAAGATGAAGTATCCCGAAAGGTTATGACGAGTTATAAGTTATAGCATAGTCTCAGGTCATTAACTCAACGTCCAAACTAGTAAATTCTAAATTGATTAGGACATCTACGTGGGAAAACTTGTTGTTTATGGGCATTCAAAGTGAATAAGATCACCATTAGCTTGTATCAGTAAAAAATTCATTTTAATTAGTTACGAGGTTTTTTAATCAATGCTTGCTCTCATATTTTCACATATTCAACAACAACCTAACATACAACACATACATGTATGTTGACAAAATTCTACACAACGGTCATGAGTAATGATGGGTAATGAGAGTTCAAAACAGTGGGGACATGTAACAATAAAGAGTCCTTCGGGACTATCAGAGGGAACTAGTCCGAATAATCAGAGATCGGTGAAAGACAGTTTATTACCTGGAGCTATGCAGTAAATGATAATCATACTGAATTCGTGTATGTCGATAAATCAAGATCTTTGGGATGGCTTCTTATGAACTAGGCATAAGACAATCCTAAGCTCAAAATATGGAGAGATAAAAAATCAAGAGTGAATTCAGATACATCACTGTGACCGATCTTCAGTTATTCCTACAAAATTCTTCAAAAATTCTATTTACTTCTCCCGTATTCAGAAAATCCGTTTCCAAGCTTATATGTCTACATACGCATCTACATACAACGATTTATTTACGCCAATGACGAAAGAACTATTAACTAAATTACATCACCTCACTATTTTCAGCCGAATTAATCATGAATATCAAACACATCAACATACACTTACCATTAGCTGAAAGAAGATGATGAGCAGAAGAGTATGCTTGAAGCCAAGTAATTGAATTAATCTTCTCTTCGATCTCCAGAGATTTTAAGTAATCGAATTCTGGTTCATGACTCGTAAATGTGCAATAAATATCATATAATCCAGTCTAATTAAGAGTGAAAACTGATAGTGAAGGTAAAGAAAAACCTACATCTTTATTATTCTTAAAAACCGTAACACGACCTGCTTTATCACCAGTAGCTAACAATTCTCCGGACTCATTAAACTCGACACACGTAAAGTTATCACCTAAGTAACCGATTCATTGGGAACGAAGGGAAACCTACCATCAGCGATATCTTCAGGATTTGATCCCTTTATTTGACTGACATACCATCTAATTGACTCTGAAAAATAGAACACGTCACGAGAATATCACCAGCGACCGATAAAAATGTGATATTGATTTACACCAAGTTTAAACAACTTATAAAGATCAAATTGGAGTGATTTTTAGTCATATTTGTTCTGGAAGTTCTAGGTTTCCTACAGAGTTTAATTACATTTCAATGACGAAAATTATAAACTACTTGGTTGTGATGAGGAACATAAGCTGGTATTTCCTAAGGATGATTGGTTTACCAATCAACATCATCGCAAAGTTAATCTAGAAACAACATACATTACTTTTGAGTTCTCAGGAAATATTATCTTAGCTTATTATCTCATTGGATTAGCCTCAGCAAGTTGTGCAGATATTCTAGACCAGAAATTTGATGCCCAACTGTTATTGCTACCTTGACGTGGTGGTCAGGCATGCCTATCGTGATGAAGCAGTCGAGCTGTACTGACTGGAACAATCGCTTCTCAAGATCCTACCATGCCGGACAGGTTGGTTGAAGAGCGGTAAGACTAGAAGCAGCAAAACCAGGGTCTGAGGGTGAAGTCCTACTTCTGCCTGTACAGAGGTGCGACGGCAGTAAGACGTTTCCTTCAGACAACCAGCGTAACAGCGATGCTGCCTGCACACAATGAAAGATAGGGTTAGAGAAGGTTGGTCCTGAAAATGGACACCTCGTCTTCTCCCACAAATTTCTGACTCCGGTGGTAAGGTTTCAACAAGTATGGAACTAACACGAATATTACTCACAAAAAGGTCGTGTGTGACCGACCGCAAGCAGTTGCACCTTGGACACTGCGGTCACGCTCACAGGTCACTAAGACCACCTCATACGTAATTTCATTTTCAGGTACCTCAAGAAGAACCGTTCCACGTTGTGGGCAACCGGGAAGTGATAACCGCCCTCAAAGCTCTAATAGCACTCGAAATCATAGTATTTATATTTAATCTCCCTCTCCAATTTCTATTATACCTCCTACCTCGGCTTTCAAACTCTGAACTTCCTTCTCAAGTGTCACCATGGTCAGTGATTCTAGTGCGCAAAACACTGTCCAGAGCTAATGAAACCTCGCTCCAAACTACACATTGGAGCCTTCAACATACCCACCCTATGTCAAATCGATCAGCGGGCCTCCTCAGCTAAAACCCTAGAATCTCGTACCATTGATGTATGCTGTGTCTCCGAAACACGCATACAGGATCCTAGTGTGGTCATTCACTTGACCTCACCTTGCTAAGTTTGACTAAAATAGCATCTAAAATACTAGCCTCAATAAATGCCGGACGCCTAACAAAGACGCGTGAAGTGCAAACTCGTGAGAACCAGGCTGGCTTCAGACCTGGTCGTGGTTGAATCGACCACATATTCACCATTCATCAGGTCATTCATCAGGCATGCTTATCGGCGTCCGACAATGGTGATCTTTCTTGACTTTAAAGCACCATTTGACTCTGTAGACCGCGAGATTCTGTGGCAGTGTCTGTCATTGAGAGGCGTACCTCAGATGTACATGAACCTCGTGCAGACTCTTTACTCGAACATTACTAGTCGAGTCAGAGCTTTTGGCGAAATGTCATCTGCTTTCGTAACCTTAAGTAATGTCCGTCAAGGCTGTCCACTTTCTCCATTTCTCTTCAACTTCATCATAGATCTACTGATCGAAATAACGTCCGCGTCGACTGAATTTTCAGGAATTGATATATTTTCAAGAGGTCTACTTATCGACTCAGAATACACAGATGATATAGTCCTGTTTGGTGAAGACGTTGATAAAATGCAGAGTCTTTTGGTACCACTGAACAACAATGCCAGAGTGTTTGGGATGTGCTTCTCCCCCCTAAATGCAAGTTGTTGCATCAGGATTGGCCTGAACTAATTATAAGGAGTGAAGTAGTCGAAAGCGTCGACAACTTCGCTTACCTTGGAAGTCTGATCACCCCTAATGGGTTGGTGTCTGAAGAAATCTCTGTACACATCCAAAAACCTCGTTTGGCTTTTGCCAACTTACGTCACCTATGGAGAAAGCGAGATATTCGTCTATCAATAAAAAAACGAGTATACTGCGTGGCAGTTGATTCTATTTAACTTTACGGCTGCGAAACGTGGGCATTAAGAGTAGAAGATATTGGTAAGCTACTAGTATTTGACCACAGATGCCTTAGAAATATTGCTCGCATCTGCTGGGATCACCGGGTAAGTATTGGTGACGTTAGATGCAGGGTATTAGGGAATAATGGAAAATCAGTTGGTGAGGTTGTGAATCTTCACCGACTGAGATGGTTGGGCCACGTGTTGTGTATGCCTGAACAGCGATTACCACGACGTGCAATGCTAACCGGTGTTGGGGATGGTTGAAAGAAAGTTAGTGGCGGCCAAACCAAAACGTGGCATCAGTGCTTGAAGTCACTAACGTCTAGTCTGGGCCATGTTGGTAGGTGCAAACTACTTGATTGGGGTTTACGTAACTATTGAAACCAATGGTTGAAGACTCTGTGTTACATGGCTTGGAATCGATCACAATGGTGTAAGTGTATACACTCTTTGTCTTCCCTCAAACTATGAGATTAGAACTGATTCATATCCTTCTTTCCACGAACTAATTCTTCCTTCCTATACTATGTCCTTATACGCTATCTTTCTTTTATATATTACCATTGAATTAACTACTATGAATCCGGTGTTCATCCTGCTCTGCTAATGAGGTATGGCAACTTGAACCGATGCACAAACGTGCCTGGTTCTACGCTGTAGCTGACTGACTGACTGACTGACTGCATTATTTTCCATTGCAAGACTTTAATAAGTAACAATTAAAGCCAAACAATATTAAATTATGACAAATATACACACACTCAAAAAATTTGATGTGCATGGTCGAAATGCCTTGTGAATAAAATTATAGATAAAAGCTGACTTCCGGAGAAGGAAAGCCATGAGTAAATGAGCATCAACTCATTTACGATAAGTATTATGTACGCCAATATGAAAGGACGAGATTGACAAACAGATAATTTGCAGCGATAAATAAATCCCCAAAATAAGTAGTTCTGTAAGCCTTCAACACTGGTGCTGACCTCGTCAGTTTTGCTGGACACACTTGGCTGAAGGTGCTCGGTCACATATCCGCACCAGATCACGAGTGCATACGCCATGCTACGCACTCCTTGCAACTGTTATCCAGCTTAGACCAAACGCTTCTCGACATATCGATAGCCTTCCAAATATATATTTGAACCCTTTTATTTCTGACTCCTGATTTGATTGGGTTGGTATACTCCGATTAAAAGGTGTAATGTGTAAGGGCGTTAAACTCACAATTCATGTAGCACCTTGAAACCCATCGTAAAGAGGGGTTTCGCTCACTGGAATATGAATATATGCATCAAGCTACTACGTTGACACGTACTTTAGCACCATAGTCTACCAGAAACAGAAAACCGGCTCTGATTTTTATTAAAACCATGGGTGGCAGTGTCACAGTCATATTACTAATTGTGCAATGAGGACCAAAACAATTATATAAAAACCACTACATATTTATCATATACGTTAATCCATATTATCAGCTTATTGAATAACTACAAAAAGTGCGACAGTCGGGGAATTTAAAGTTTATTACCCCCAGAAACATTAGTATATCATTATCTTCCTTCGTTATACAATATTGTTACATATATTTTCGTTGCTCCGTATGAATTACTACCAATGACGTGATACTTAAGGTTAGTGGCTCTCATTGTTAAAGTAAGAAACATCGGCATCAGTCAATGTTGAATGGGTTTATTCGGTCTATTTTTGGTCTCCGAAACTTCGTATTAGCACGAAAATAGTGACTCACATCCAATCATATACAACATACCTCCAAGCATGACAAGCCATTGTTCTTTAAATGATGAAAGGACTTTATTAAACACTACGTATTGATTCAGACGTTTTATTCATAAGCTACCATATGACTGAAGTGAAGCTATTAACTTCTAAGTTAAGGTTATAACCTCAGAGCAGTTGCCGAAAACAAGTATTACGTTTTACATACTGGAAAAACCTGACGCAAAAATATGGAGTCGCTCGTTAGATGACCTACCACACAGAGTCTTATTCATAATTTACACAGAAACACCGGAATATCGCCTCATCTGTCATTTAAGCGCCACTGATTCGAAAACACCGCAACAGCTGATCCTAGAGTGAATCTGAAAATAGAACAAACTTTGCTGCTAATTGATATTATTAAAAATAAGTATGATGAAGTAGAAAGAAGGATTGAATCCCACTCCTTGATTCAAATGGTTCAAATGGTTGTGGACGGAATAGAAGAAGCTTTCGCTTAACAGGCTTCCGTGTCTAGTAGCAGGGGATCACGAAATCCTCCAGGCAGGAACCTAGGTATGTTAACAATAAAAGAGGAAAAGAAATTGGTAAATCATAGTGTGATGCTGTCCTTGGTCCTTAAGAATAGGTCAAGTTGCCTCTTGAAGGACTCCTCAGAAGTCGCTTGGACTAGCTCGGCCGGCAGCGAATCCCAGCTTTTGGCAACTTTTAAGGAATAGAAGTTGTGTCTACATTCCGTCTTGCTATGTTGTGTTTCCAGTTTCTGGGTGTTACCCCTTAAGTTATTATTCGAACTAAGCTTAAGTAGGTGTTTAAGAGGATGTCCAGAAGTGTTAAGAATACTGTAAGCCATTAATAAATCACCTCTAAGACGCCTATATTCTAGTGGGTAAAGGTCTAGTGAACAGAGTCCTCGAACTGATTTCGTGGCTCGCCGTTGGATACGCTCCAAAGTGACCTTGTCCTTTTGGAGTGAGGGGGGAGTACTATGTTTCCGTACTCTAAATGGGGACGGATGAAACTATTGAAGATTGTGTGGAAAGTTCTTCCGTCAAACTGGCCAAAAATGCGCCTCAACGTTACCAGTGCAAGGTTTGCTCGGAAGGCATTTTTGTCACAGTCAGCGTAAGACTTTAAGTCATGGGGCACCAGGACTCCCAAATCTTTTTCGACTTGGGATACTACTAGAGAGGAGTTTCCTAAGTTGTAACTGTAGTTTGCGACATGTCGCAGATTATTTACGATTTCTTTCCATCAATTTCCGTGAAATACGTTTGCCTAGCTAAACCCATGAACATAGAATTGATAATCTTGTCAGATCCATTTTGGAAAAAACAAGATACTAGGTGGTGTATGCTAGTCCTGGCAATCGTTGTCAATCAGTTGATCCATTTTCCTTTTGAAAGCGTCGAAATATGTAGCTCTAACCACGTGTTGATTTAGTAAATTGCATTTGTTGATGATTCAGATATGTGTGGTAACGATAGAAGGCTTATGGCCTTTCCTGGCATAGTGAAGCCAGTGGCTGTAGATAACAACAAACAGCTTTAAAGACTAATAGAAGAAACCGGGATTAAGAAGTCAAGTGCAAGTGAGATGATCTCGGAAAAAGATGGTACTCTCAGCTCAGGCGTTTAGAGCGATGGGCGGGACACTTTAAGGAATAGTTCAGCTGACCATCAGCTACTTGACAACCACCCACCATTGTCAAACGGCCAGAATGGAACATTGAAGGAGGTCCTCGACTCTAATTGAAGACCCAATGGCTATAGCTAATCTGAAACAAGAAAGAGAAGCTGATCAAGATGGATTGGCCCCAAAGGACTTCATGTATGCTGGTTCAGTTTAGCGATTAGGTTGGCTAATATCTTAGCCAAAATCTAGGAGTTGGACTTCATCCCAACTGACTGGTCCCAATCACTGATTGCCACAAAGTATAAGAAAGATTCAAAATCATCCTGTGACAACCAAAGACAGATTGGTTTGAATAAATAACATCTAAAATACTAGCCTCAATAAATGCCGGACGCCTAACAAAGACGCGTGAAGTGCAAACTCGTGAGAACCAGGCTGGCTTCAGACCTGGTCGTGGTTGAATCGACCACATATTCACCATTCATCAGGTCATTCATCAGGCATGCTTATCGGCGTCCGACAATGGTGATCTTTCTTGACTTTAAAGCACCATTTGACTCTGTAGACCGCGAGATTCTGTGGCAGTGTCTGTCATTGAGAGGCGTACCTCAGATGTACATGAACCTCGTGCAGACTCTTTACTCGAACATTACTAGTCGAGTCAGAGCTTTTGGCGAAATGTCATCTGCTTTCGTAACCTTAAGTAATGTCCGTCAAGGCTGTCCACTTTCTCCATTTCTCTTCAACTTCATCATAGATCTACTGATCGAAATAACGTCCGCGTCGACTGAATTTTCAGGAATTGATATATTTTCAAGAGGTCTACTTATCGACTCAGAATACACAGATGATATAGTCCTGTTTGGTGAAGACGTTGATAAAATGCAGAGTCTTTTGGTACCACTGAACAACAATGCCAGAGTGTTTGGGATGTGCTTCTCCCCCCTAAATGCAAGTTGTTGCATCAGGATTGGCCTGAACTAATTATAAGGAGTGAAGTAGTCGAAAGCGTCGACAACTTCGCTTACCTTGGAAGTCTGATCACCCCTAATGGGTTGGTGTCTGAAGAAATCTCTGTACACATCCAAAAACCTCGTTTGGCTTTTGCCAACTTACGTCACCTATGGAGAAAGCGAGATATTCGTCTATCAATAAAAAAACGAGTATACTGCGTGGCAGTTGATTCTATTTAACTTTACGGCTGCGAAACGTGGGCATTAAGAGTAGAAGATATTGGTAAGCTACTAGTATTTGACCACAGATGCCTTAGAAATATTGCTCGCATCTGCTGGGATCACCGGGTAAGTATTGGTGACGTTAGATGCAGGGTATTAGGGAATAATGGAAAATCAGTTGGTGAGGTTGTGAATCTTCACCGACTTAGATGGTTGGACCACGTGCTATGCATACCAAACTACTGACTACCACGTTGCACGATGGTAACTGGCATTGAAGACAGACGGGAGAATGTTAGTGGCGGCAAAACGAAAACCTGGCATCAATCCGTAATGCCACGGAATTCATGTTCGAGCCACATTCGTAGACGCAGAAAATTTCGTCGGAGTCCACGCAACTATCGTGAGCAATGTTTGAATACACAGTTTGACGTGACTTGGAATCGATCACAAGTGTAAAGATGTATACGAAGTAGTTCAGACATGAGTTTGTGTTTCTAACATAAATCAAATGACTGTTCAGGCGCACCTCCTCAATCGTTGCGACCTGGCTGTGTTCGCTTCTCATAGTTTTGGGATTCTGTTTAGGCCAGGCGCATGGTAACTTGCATTCAGTTTAGTTGACACCAAACTTCCAGTGGTACCGACAGAACTGCCCAGACTGTCTGAACATTTGTGACCTGTTTTGTGACTTCGACCTTAGTCGTTGTGGTGACCTGCTCCCGTTTCTATGACCTGTTTGCGTTCTGGCGACAAATTCATTGAAACTTTTAACATTCTAATGAGTCCCTCTACGACTGGGTCGTTTGATGGTTCTTCTTTTTGTGCGTGATTTATCGTGCGTGATCAAGTTGTGGGACCTCTTCCCATTATTCTATCGGCTATACGCGCTAAATGAGATAAAGAGGTTTCAGGATCTTGTGCATCTGAACAGTGTTGGACGTAGCATGGCAGAGTTTGAATCCATCCCTGGTTTAGGGCTGCTTCACTTACTGTGTTGTCACCCACTAAGAGTTGGAGGTGACGTCAAAACTGTGACGGGGACATGTCACCTAGTCGTTCTCCTTGGAAAAGCTTTTTGGATTCTTGGGCCGTCTGATAATGATAAACGGTTCATTATCTCACGTCTCAAGGTGATGTATGGTTGTGGTGATGGTGGACTTAAAACCAAGTCACGGAATTCTTTGGTGACTGAAGAAGGGGGGACAAAACACAAGTCTCTATAGTGAATCCCTTCAGATTTGATATTGTGTCTCATGAAACAATGCTCTAGTTGAGTGAATCACAACTCAGGGGCACTACGATCAAATTCCGGGATTCGGGCTTTCGTAGTCAAAGCAGTGTCTATTTCCACTGGTCACAAATCCTCCAGGTTTTGGGTTTGTAGTGAGTTTAACATGAGGTATATGACCAATATACTAACATAGATTGAACGAAAAATGAGTACTACAAGACGAATGCCTTACGATAAAAAAACGATATATAAATATTATACCGAATTTCGGTTAAGGATAATCAGATGTACTTTAGGACTAAGTAAAAGAATGATATTAATGATTATAATGAAGTTAAATTTGGGTTTGACATAACTCAAAAGTTTCGTGCCTGTAGGTAACCGTTGTCCTATTGATAGAAGAACACAGACTAGTAGTGAATAGGTCTTTATTTAGATCGCGTGGCGATCACAGTGGAACGTGAGATTACCTGTTTAAACACACAAATCTTTCCAACATTCAATATAAGATCATAGGGAACATGATGTTTCTACAAAGTAAGGAAGTGAATGTGTAATTGAGCTCTAATATTTGACATATACTTAGCTGTTTGGGTTAAACTCTTAGTTAATCTATGCTGTTTCAAATATATGTTTGTGATCCTACGGACTTCGTGTTCTCTTTGTAGATGTTATTTTCTTTCAGCATATCCACTCCCTAAAACATTAGGTGGCCTTCACTCTGGATTTGCGTGAGACGATCGCTGTCGTGCATCTTCGGCGGTTTTATTGACAGTTCATACCGAATTACAACGTTGCTGTGGGACCTCTAACATACTAAATTCCCTTCAATGCAAAAATCATGAAGCTTGATGACAACAAAAATTGAGCGCTTTCCACAGCAAAGCAATTCTGTTGGTACACTACGCCAAAGAACTAATTAGTACCGCTATAGGCATGTTCGACTCAGCTATCGGATGTGCAATGTGGCGATTAGCATAAAATGATTGGGAAACTACGACATTTTTTTCGATTGAGTTCAAGACACTGAATCGAATTATAGCACTATCAACAGAGAAATCCTAGCTATGTATGGGGCTTTACGGCGCCTCATCCGGCTACAAAAACAGGACTGTGATACTCAACACGAGTTATCTTCGACAACCCCAAAGTTATTAATGAGACATATGAGGAAAAGGGATGAAACTTAGATTTATGTAATACCCGTAGTTAGGTATCGTCTAATCGT